TAAATTTTATAACATTTGAAAAATTATGTTTGGTTTTCATCGTTTAACCTTCATAATAAAACAAAATTTAACGTTGTACTCCTTTCTGTATATTTTAAAATCGCTTTAGCACATTCTGTTTTAAGTTAATTTAAAGTTCTCTCCCTTCAGCAATTTGAAAAAAAAAAAATCCATTGCGCTTGTATTCAGAATCATATTATTATTATTATATAGCTTGATTTTTATTTTGGAAAGAAGGGGACTAGGTACCTAGCGTAAAAATAAACTATATACCACCTGATCGCCTCGATGTGCTTACTAAGATCTGTCCTTAGTTGCAAGCCTACAAATATCTCCAACTAGAGTTTCTTTCAGGCATCACTGCGAACGGTGATGTATGTAGATCTGTCGATTTTAATTTTAATTTGATTCGAACACTTTAACTTGATAGTTTGCCACCATCGTTAAAAAGTGCACGAACGAAAAGTAATAATCACGGTTAAGGTTGGGTTAAAAACTGAAAGTAGACCTACAAGTTTCATTTTTAAAAAAATCTTTTGTGTATGTGTGTGTGTGTGTGTGTGTGGGGGGGGGGGGGGGTAACTTTTTGTCAGGGTTTATCTTTACCATATCTGCTTGTACCTTTTTTTTTTACATGATCATCTAGTGTGCAGTATTGCAGAGTAGGCTATAGAAAATCTTCGGCTCTTTGTGTAGTTTTCTCCCTTGTTGTACATTCGGATATTTCCGATTTTTACATTGGTTTGAGTCGAAAAACATGTTCCCGTTTTACAGAGAAAATATGTAATAAATAGAAATTCCCGCTATACACTGCTCGTGTTTGGAGAAAATGAGATCTTGACTAGGTCTAGCACGGCCTAAATAAAAAACAGCGTTCCTTTTTAAAAGTAGGTTTAATGTTAGTTCTATATTTCATCCACGTACGACATAGAATCTAGCATCCATTGATTATCCAAGGATCTTGTTTACATTCTACTCCAGCGCTTGTTATCCAGTTTCTTCCAGGCATCTCTTCGGGGGGGGGGCTTTGCCCCCCCCCCCCCCCCCGGAAATTTTTTTACCGCCCCCCCCCCGAACGAAATGAAATTTATATAATTTATATAGAAAATATATACTTTTAACAGTGTCCGCCCCCCCCCCCGAAGAAAGTCTACCGCCCCCCCCCCCGAAAATTCCAAGTGCCCCCCCCCGGAGAAAAAACGTCTGGAAGAAACACTGCTTGTTATACATCAAGGCGCGCTAATTAATAACAATATTATTAATATAGTCTATTAATAGAAATAGGCATGGCCATTTTAATAACTAATTAACACCTGTAATTAAAAGTAATTATTAATAACAAACTTAGGCTTATGCACGGGACCTGTATAGAGCACACCGCGAAACTGCTGTCATCAAGGAGCCTAATCGTACTGTGCGGATCAATTTTAGACTTTATTTCCCCGCAGGGCTTACTGTGACGTTTTTATTTTGTGTGTGTAGGCCTACAGAAAAAAAACTTCCTCTGCTGTTCGTAAATGATGAAATTTAGGTCACACGTGACACGTCTAGTTCATCTACCGTCCGTGTCAGTTTGCCGGTCAAATTTGTACGATAACATCATTGAGTAGATGTTAGGCCCTACCTTCACACATAAACATTGTTGTGACACATGAATCATTGTGTAGCAAGGACTGATGATGAGATCTGGAAGTAGGACTTAGTTTAACAGTCGTTTAGTGCTGGCTTTGTTGTGGGACATGAGCTTGTTGTAGGGCTTAGGACATGGAATTGATACTGATAGCACTTACATCAGTCCTATAATCACTATACTCACTATAATGATCAGTATAAATTAGTTAAAATTAGTATAATGATATAATGCAAATAGATTATATGGTCTCTAGATCTAGGGATCATAGATAAGATAGAGTAAGATAGGGTATATACTAGGAATCTTTTAATTAATGTAGACTTGGCTTGAGTCTATTCCAGTCTGAGATTAATTTATTAAATAATTAAAGAGAGCCCCCCACCCCCCACTATGGGTCTATGAATTAATATTGGCCTATTATAATTAAATTAAAAATTATGGGCCTAATTAATTAATAGGCCCTAATAGAATTTGTCTATGTCATAGGACACAGTGTATAGGATAGTACTGTTAAAATTATACACTATACACGCTAAAAACTATTATAATTATAATTTAATTTCACTATTTTTAGTGTAGCCTTCACAGAAGCCTATAATAATCTGCATACTAAATTTAGAAATTAGGGTAATTTCAACTTATTTCTGTTTAGTAATTTCCTATATTTTTATATTTTACCACAGAATTCTTTTCAAGAAACAGCAATAACAAAACCCAGTGAAACAATTACATTACAATTAGTGCTATAACTTATTTGCATCAGAGGCGTAGCGAGGGGGGAGGGGTGTGGACTGCACTGGGTGACAACTTTTAGGGGGGGTGACACCAAGGCAAAAAATAGCAAAATATATAGAGAAAAATGATAATTCCACTTAATTAAGTAATTAATTCGAGTGTTAAATAGTGTTTTAAGAGGTGCAAATTGAAAGTTTGCAGGGGGGGGGGTGTGCAAATTGAAAAATTGAAAGTTTGTCCCCGAGAAGGGTCGCTACGCCTCTGGGGGGTGACACCATTAAGTGCCGCACGGGGTGACACCCAACCTCGCTACGCCACTGATTTGCATAACTAATCAATTTGGTAATGAGGGGGTGTAGTCCATTGCTTAAGTCTAGAGAGTCCATTTGGATTTAACATTATAATTCAACTTTGACTCATGGTTTAACCAGACCAATCTGAATTTTTCATCAATTTAATGAACATGTTTTTATCAACATTATATTGAATGTAATTATTCTCCGGCTTACTAACAAATACTAGTCAAATACTCTTAATCCCTTAATCTATGAAAGGATTAAGTAAGGTATGCCTACAGGATATAGCCTTTATACCTATCATCATACCTGTATTACCATTACAACAGCTGTGCTGTCCACACATTACTACAGGTGTAGACCAACAGCTTACACATTGCTACAGGTGTAATACAGGAGTGGTCAACATCCTACACAGCCACACAACTGATCAAACTGCTCTGACTACAACACACCAATTTCAAATATTTAACTGTACCTATCCCAGGTAGAATTCTAGATCAAAGCTGTTGATGATGGCCACTAAAGAAGGGGTTGACTCTTCTAGAAAATTGGATCTCCAAAAGTTTCATGTGTCTTATGATACTGGGTTGATGCTGAAAGACCCCTTAGTAAGTTAAGGTTCAGTTTTAATTTTAAACACTTAATGTTTTGTTGTATATGAATTAAAATTTTAATTTAAATAAATTTACAATGAATCACGAAATTAATGCTGAAAAACCCTTTAGTAAGTTAACGCACAGTTTTAATTTTAAAATACTTAATATTTTGTTGAATATGAATTAAAATTTAAATTTAAATAAATTTACAATGAAATATGACATGAATAATTTCATAACAGTTTAGAAAAGTTACTTTATGTCATTTAATAAATTATTTGGTTTGTGTTAGTAATATTTTAAGAATCTTTCAAAATGGCAATGTCTAGAAAGAACTTCCACCTTATTTTCGAGAATGGAACAGAATAGCAGAATCCTTACCTCAGCTGGTGAAGCAAAAGATATTAAGAGAAGAGGTTCATAAGGTTGGTACAACATAGGTGCTAAAAATTTTGTCAACAAACTTGTTTAATAATGACTTACAGATACTTTTTAAAGATTAAACTTGTAGGACTTGTGCTTTATGGAATAGTTTATATTTTAATGCACTATAATGTAAATGAAAATGTGCATGCACATTTTTATTTGACTTGTAAGCCTTAATAATTTCTGTTAAAAGATTCTTTAAAAAAAATAAAATTTCTTTTGGTACTTTTTTATATTGGTGTGTATAAAACTTATATTTTATTCTAGATGCCACTTTTGGACCACAGAAAACTTGAGGGCTACAGACAAAAACGTTTGGCCCATCTCCAGCTCTGTTTCATCACAGCAGGCTATGTGTGGCAGGATGGGGACAAAGGCGTTACCAAGGTAACATCTGATTCGCTATGCAGAAACTGGTTCCTGTACTTAAACCCTCGCATGTTAACCCTCCTTACATCAATCTAACACACAGGACGCCTCAGAAACTTGATCTACTATAAGACTTACTATCTCATATTCTTCATCATCTTTTCTCTTTGGTGTACAAGACACATGGGGTCATCACAGAAAGCTCTTTCTTTGCACTCTCCAAAGATAGTCCAGGTCTTGTCAGTTGTTTTTCTGCTATACTTCTCCACATCTTCCTTGTCTTCCTTCTCCTTGTGGCTAGGACCAAATTTGGACTTCATCAGGCCCTAAGCCTGGAACGGAGTGGTCTAGCGGTAGAGAGCAGGACTGCTAACCCTTAAGTCTCAAGTTTGAATCCGGGTTCTAGTCAGTAGACCGTCCCTGAGTCCACCCAACTCTGATGGGCATCTAACTCACGTTAGGGAAAGTAAAGGCGGCTGGGCATAGTGCTGACCACAAATATCTCTTCACAGAAACAAGTGAACTCTACCTCACTTGCCCCATAGACCGTACCTCACTTGCCCCATAGACCGTCAGGTTTGAAAGGGAACTTTACTTTTTTAGGCCCTAAGCTATTTGATATGAGTCTCCACCATTAGCATATATATTATTTGTTACCTAAAGCTGTTCTATGTCTACAGTGTTATTTTTAAGTCAATCATCTAATTAGTAATTAAAATAAATACTCTCATTAAGGAAATCTTCAATGATTTTATTTTCTGACATTTTTCAGACACTTCCCAAATGTGTAGCAGTACCATTTTATGCCATCTCAGAGGAGCTTGGTATCAAACCAATTTTAGGTCATGTTGACTTGGCTCTGGCCAACTGGAGGCTTATCAATCCTAGTGGGTAAGCTCAGTTGCCATGTTGCACCAATAATTTTTTCTGTAATTCATTCATTTTAATTTTTTAAATTATAAAATTTAATAACAGCATATACCTAGCACATTTTTTATTTACTTTTAAAGTATACTTTCCACACTGTTATTTTGTACAATTTAAATCCAATTTTGTTTTTTTACTCCCTATTTCAGCCCATATGAATTTGAGTAAGTATGGTGAAGTGGATTTTAACAATGTTCTTCATTGAAAAAGATGCTTTATACTGATAAGTTGTAAAAAAGGAATAAAAGGAATAAAATAAATGTAGATTCTATATGTAACTAGTGTAGTTACTAGGGACGATAAGAACGTAATACAGTCTGTCAACTAAAGACTATTGTAAGAACGCATTACAGTCTGATGCAATAGTGCAGGTGGTGGACTGATAAGAACACAAAGCCACGGCGTATTTTGGGAAGCAATACGACAAGCCGCTGCGTAGTTAATAGTCTGATGCAACGAATGGAAAGTATTGCGTATACGAGGGATATAATATAAGGCTGCGTATTGGAGACGGCAGAACCAAGTTGGAGACTGAACGGTGTAGACGTATTGTGTTATGTGAGAATAGGAACGATGGACACGTGCATTCTGTTATGTGAGGACTAGTGAGGACAGTGGGGGTCAGTTGGTTCATTGTATTCTTTTGGAACATTGGTGCATTGTTATGTGGAGCATTTCTATTGATTCATGTAATAAAGAGATCAATGTAAACCTGCACTTCCGAGTATCTATATTGTGGTCGATGTTGTGTGCTGGTCAAAGGTAGCATGAGTAAATACACTCGGTAACATTTGGCACTACAAGTAAATAGACTCGGTAACATTTGGCGCTGTCGGCAGTGGAAACATTTGGCGCTGTCGGCAGTGGTAACATATACTTTTTTTCTGATAGTTTTTTTAAGACAGCTTTATAAATAAAACATTTATTTTTACTGTAAATTAAAAAAAAAATTCATAATTTCATTAACTGTAAACTACTAGTTTTACTTTCACTTTATTCATTTCCCTAAAAAAATCAAAAGAATTAACTTTTTATGTTTAAAGTGTAGAGTAACAATTGTGTTAAGATAAACAGTGATTATTTTTTAAAATTAAATTTTTTATTCACATTAGAAATTTGGAATGCCTGTACCATTAACCTGGGGAAGCTTTAATTAAAATTTTGTATTTACATTAGAAATTTGGAATGCTTGTACCATTTACCTGGGGAAGCTTTAATTAAAATTTTGTATTTACATCAGAAATTTGGAATGCTTGTACCATTTACCTGGGGAAGCTTTAATTAAAATTTTGTATTTACATCAGAAATTTGGAATGCTTGTACCATTTACCTGGGGAAGCTTTAATTAAAATTTTGTATTCACATCAGAAATTTGGAATGCTTGTACCATTTACCTGGGGAAGCTGCAGGTGACTGGTTCTGTATAGTCACATTTATGGTTGAGTTCAGCTTTGCCAAATGTTTGAAGGTAAGTATTGTTCCAAATGCAGTAACCCAATGTTAGAAATCAATTGGTTCAGTTAATTTGAAAGATAAGTGTAATGACAAGGGAAGTAATCCAATGTTAGAAATCATTTGGTTCAGTTAATTTGAAAGATAAGTGTAATGACAAGGGAAGTAATCCAATGTTAGAGATTACTTGGTTCAGCTTTTTGAAGGGAAGTATTGTGAAAAGGGAAGTAAACTAGTGCTAGAAATTATTTTGTCCAGTTAATTTTTTTTAAAGGCAAGTGTTGTCACAAGGGAAATAATCTAGTGTTCGCATACCTCGCCCTATTATGTAAATTCATTAAACTAAAACCCATTTTGAATTACCTTTCTAAATTATTAAAATAAGATATTTGAAAAACAGAAACTTTGGTCAGAAATCACTGGTCAATGTTTTTATAACCATAGCTTCTTGTTATTCTTGAGCTGAACACAAACATTCTTCTGCAGCCACTGGCAAATATTTTTGACCTGTTACCTAAAGCCCATCATCAAAAGCTACAAGACAGTACTGGCTTAAATGAAACGGTCAATGAGATAGCCTCACTTTTAGGTGAGGTGACCACAGTGATACACTTGATGCAGTCTTCACTGGCTAGAATGCATGGTTGGTCATTCAATATGGAATTCGTTTAAAATTATTTCACTAATTATTCCTACATAATTTTTAAAAATAAAAATTTAGTACCATCCAAGCATTATTAACATAAAATAAATTTATTACACCCTAATTTTCTTCTTTAAACCTTTATCTGATAAGTTTGACTGTATATATTGATTTCACTCTTATTTTAGTTATGCCTGTACAAAGTTTATTTTTCTCCACAGACAAACTTGAAGCTAAAACATTTTTTAATCTGATACGGCCATTTTTGGGAGGGTGAGAACATTGTTTTATTTTACTTGATTAAACTTAAAAGCCTGTATCCCCTTGTTCAATTAAAAAAAAAAGAATATACTGTTAGGTAAACAAAAAATGCTGGTAAGAGCCTACTTTACAAGCTGGTAAATTTTATTTTGACCTCAGTTGGGGAGGTGCAGACAACCCATTACCAGATGGCCTCATTTATGAGGGAGTCTCAGACCAACCCATCAAGGTACGGACTAATTACCTCTCTAATTATTTTAATTCAGTTAAATACAGCTTCAGTAAAAATTATGTACACTGTTAAATGACTTGTATAAACTGGTTACCATTCTAAAATGTGTAGGATCAGTCCATAACAGTTTCAACAAAGTGATTGAACTGTTTTATTTACACTGAATAGCAATGAGCAAGTTGGTTCATACTGAATTGCTGCAAAAGTTATTTGTTCAGTGTATTCCAGTTGTAACAGTAACTATTTTGTTTACAATGAATAGCAATGAGCAAGTTGGTTCTCACTGAATTGCTGAAAAAGTTATTTGTTCAGCGTATTCCAGTTGTAACAGTTAAAAAAAATATTTATTCCAGTTGTAACAGTTAAAAAATAACTATTATAATAGATGACAGGTGGCAGTGCAGCACAGAGCACCACGCTACAAGTTGTTGATGCACTTTTGGGAGTTAAACACACTCAAGGTACGCAACCCTTACTCTACTGATGATTTCAGTAGCTTCCTCTTTCCTTTATGGGGTAAAACTATTATTTAAGACATTTTCAAATTATTATTAAACCTTTTCTTAAATGTTATTATTTAATGAGAAATGTGATTATTTTTGTTTATTAAATAAAAACTGTTGTCAAATTATTATTGTTCAGCTTCTCTTTCTTAAATTTCTTAATTTTTTTACTTTATACTTCAATAACATGCATATTTGATGCACTTATTTTACAAATGATAATATTTCATTTAGCTAAATCTTTTTCCCAGATAAAAAAGATTTTTTGACAACCATGAGGTGCTTTATGCCCCCCGACCACAAAAGTTTCATAGAAGATTTAGAAAACAGACAGTTCAAATTGAGAGATTTAGGTACTTAACTAATTAAATGCCATAAATTTTACCCTAATTAGTTAATTAAATAAACAAAACAGTTCAAACTGAGAGATTTAGGTAAGTAACTAATTTAATACCATAAATTATTCCTTAATTAGTTATCCTATTAATTAAATAAACAAAACAAATAAATAATAAGAATTTTAAAAATAAATTTAATAAATCAATTATTAATTTGATGAAACAAACTTTGGCTTAGTAAGTTTAGTTTTTGATCAAATAAAAAAATAAAACAATATAGTTTACACGTTATGTAATTTTAAAAATTTTTGTGAGCAAAAATTCTAAAATATTTTTACTTTAAAAATAAAGTTCTGTTTTGATATATTTCTACTAAACTAACATTTTGTTATCAGTGCTCTCAACAAACAGTGAGAGGCTACAGTCAGCCTACAATAAATGTGTGACAGCACTGATTGATCTAAGGACCTACCACATAAAGATTGTAACAAAGTAAGTGCTATCATTGTTCGATACAAGATTCTATGAGGTAAATATTGTAAGAAAGTTAGTGCAAACATTGCTTGATATGCTGCTCATTTCTCATATACATGATATTGTTATTTCCTTGACATTCTTTCATTTTGATTATATACTCGATAGTATTGATATTAGAGTGGCTATGTTGTATTTATCATCATTGACTAAAGTAATGTTGACTGTAACCTCTTCACCTCAGGTACATCGTCCAAGCTTCTCAGACTATGAATGAAGGGAACTATGAGAGTCTTGACAAGAAGGGAACAGGGGGAACAAGTAAGTCAACATTTGTGTTCATTAGTTGACTATATTGTCTTTTTGTGAGTCAACATTTGTGTTCATTAATTGACTACAATGAGTTATTGCGACATCTTGATTTTGGTGTAAATTTATGTGTTATAGGGGTTTAGTGAACTATCTGGTGACATAAATATGTGATTATGTGTCTAGCACAGTGTGTAACCACTTTTACACAGCTTTTAATGCAAGGAATAATTGGAGACTTTAGTTTGAAATCTGGTACTTGATGTTCATACACACTTTGCCAACCAACCAACCTATTTATAGTTTGTGGTGATTCCACTCAAATTATGCTATTGTGGCTATAGGTCTACATATATTTTATACTCTATATGCTATGTTGTAGCTATTCCAGTGTGGCAGCTTGTTATATATAATCTCAATAATTTATGCTCTAACTATGACATAAGTAAATACCATAAAAGTGTGTATAATCAATCACTAATTTCAAGTTGTAACAGACTTTTCATGCATTCATGTTAACTCCATTAAACACTTAATACTATAAAATGTTTTATACTTTATGGGATTTTAAAAACCAAACAAAATATCATTGTATTTATCATTTGAATATTAGCCTATTCAATAATGAAGACTATCAGTTTGTCTATTTTAATATACTTTAATTTAAAAAAACTTCTAACTGTATTCCTCTTTTGAATTTAGGTCTAATACCATTCTTAAAAGACATCCGCACAGACACGAAAGTCAGGATTGTACCTGAAACAGACACAAAAGTCCAGCACAAAAGACCAAATTTTAGCCTAAAGTTTGGTGCAGTTGCTGTCTTGTCTTCTATAGTTATTGCTGTGGCTGTAAAAATATTCACTCAGAAATAATAAACAGCAAACAGAGGCAAATAAAAACCTGACCTAGACATAAAACAACAAAAGTTTCTATTGAAAATTTACATTTTGGAATTTTTTCACTAATTTGATGATAGACAAGCAAAACAGGAGTACTAAAGGGTTTTACAGTAAAAAAATTAATAATTGATTCTTCAAACTTCTAGTCTGATTTTGTAAAATTAAACAAATTTCTAGGTATCTTAGTATGTATTCTAGTATGAAAAGAATAATTTACACAATTAGGTTGTTAATTGTTTCATTTTGTTTGGCTAGAAACCTGGTCACTGTACAGGCCTACAGTATTAGTGAAGTTGTTGAATACTTGCCATGTTGGACTTTGAGCATATTAGTAAATACTTCTTGTTGCTTAGTTTTTTGAAAAATGTTCCATCTTTTTCTGTTGAAAGCTAGTCCTTCTGCTGATATATTTATTAAAATTTATAATTTATTTGTAAATTGACTATAATTATTAAATCAAGTTAAATCTAAGTACAAATTTTTTGTTGGAAAATATTGTCAAAATATATATAATTTACTTCTTTAAATGCTATGAAACAAATTACTATGTTTATGATATTTATTTAGTTTTAAAGGTAGTGAAGAAATGCTTTGTTTATCTGTTTTTTTAGTTTTTTCATTAGATCTGAAAATAGTATTTGGAAAGTTTTTGCTAATTTAAATGCAATTTGTGATATGTAGAATAAAATATAAATCTCCTTATGTCCTTTGATGTCTATATTTAAAATAAAAAAAACAACAACTAATAATGTCGAAATGTTGCTATTATTTTCTTATCCAATGTAGTCTCTACTACTCAAAATTATTTTCTAATAATGTAATAAATTATATGCTGTTTACTGTATAACTTCGCATACACTACATCAGAATGACTACATATATTTCTGTTTTTTCGACTCAACATAGACTCTGATATTATGACTCCACATTAGCTGTTGTTGGTATCACCTCACATACAAAGTAAACATGAGTTTACAAATGCTGTTGTTGTGACTACACATGTAACAGTGACTCACATAATCTGTGTCAGTTTCCTCAGACAATCATAAGCCAATTTATCTTGTTTACTTTACATCTATAAGGTGTGTACAGAAGGTCAGAGGTCAGTTTGATGACCTTATCTCAGAGGTCACTGTAAACAAACACCTGCAGATAAAGTGAAATTAACTTTAATCCCATCCTTTTATAATCTCACAGCTCTCTTGTTTCAGTACATCAGTAAGTGAAATAAATATAAGTTTCTTCACATTTCTATAGGGAACCTTAGTAAGTGAAATAAATATAAAAGTTTCTTCACATTTCCATAGGGAACCTCAGTAAGTGAAATAAATATAAGTTTCTTCACATTTCTATAAGGAACCTCAGTAGCTGAAATAAATATAAATGTTTGCATAAAAAGATTGTAATTTAACATACTGTTAACACACAATTCCTGTATATTAATACATCTGGACCTGATTTAAAATATATTCAAATATTCTGAGATACAGTCTTACAACTGGTATTTTCTTAGAAATGTGTGTGTTTATTATAAAATGTTTGCTAGACTCTTTTGTGTGCACAGCTATTGAGTTCAAGATATTCTTGTATTATTACGGTGGTCATGCTTTTAATTAAGGTGATAAGGATTATTTATGTCCATGCATACAGTAATTTAATTAAAGATAGTATGTCTGTTGTAGTAGACACATTTTATAAAAGTATTAATTAATACGTTTTAAACAATATTTATAATTGTGACTTTATTGTGTTATATCTCGGACTAGGATCTGGTAAATTATAAAGGAATAAAGATTATTTTTTGCATTCAATGGGTTTTGTTGTGCTAAGAATTTTTTTTTATAATTTCAAAAATGTGATTATTATAATGTTTCCATAAGTCTTACATAAAAGAATAAATACATTAATTCTTCTTCATTATTTTAAATAAGACTGAAATAAAAACAGTCAAATAGCTGAATTAAAATTCTACATAGGAGCTGTTCAGAATGGCACCAGGAATTGTTGAAGAGGATATGAACTTTAACCTCAGGAAATATAATGTTTCTTACAATACTGGGTTTATGCTGGAGTCTCCTCTGGTAAGGATTTTATTGGGAAAGTTTAGGCTGTATGTTACCCTAATGTGTTGCTTTTCTTTAATCTTTCTCTTAGGCTCAGAATTTTGTTATAAACTTACTATTTGTTTCATATTTTACATACACATACCCTTCTTGTTGACCAGTGTAGTGTTTCTTTCAGAGTATTCCTTGAGAGGCAGGAGGAAGGGTAAACGGGTAAATTTGCTTGTTGCTTGGGGGAGGGGTGGGGGTAAAAATGGGTAAACTTACTTGGGGGGGGGGAGGTGGTACTGCTCTTCCTCTGAAAGAAACACTCGCCTAAAGACTTGTCACTAATTTTTGGAACAAGTACATATTTTCTATTGTCCTGTATTGTTAAAATCTAGGTAAAACTAAACTTGCTACCAAAGTAAAACTGGTTAAAATTCAGAGAAAAGGTAAAGTGAACATGTATGTGGGGAGGGATTGTATGTGCTGTGATAGCATAATAGTATAGGGATATAGTGTTGGCCTTTCTTGTGTCCAGCTCATTGTATTAATTGTTTACTGATATCTATTTCACAAGGTGGGTTTATTGCTTGAAGTTTTCTTTCAGGCACCCCCTCCCCCTCCCCCTACTCACAAAAGCAAGTCTAATGCCATCCCTGAACGAAATATAATTTATATAGAAAATATATACTTTTACCAGTGTTAGCCACTCCCCTCGAAAGTTTCATGTGTCCCCCCCCCCCCCCATGGAGACAAAAAGTCTGAAGGGGGGGGGGGGGTCGTCCATAAAGGAATTCACAAAATTACTGTGACGTCATTTATGGACGACCCCCAAAGAACACGGCTAGCATTTTGTTTTACTTCCAGTTAGTACCTGTTGGAGATATTTACAATCCATAGATACTGTAATTAATTAATTGTGTGAATCAATTCCAGACTTCTCTGCCACATTATTTTGAGCCTTGGAATCATCTTGCTGCCTCTGTTCCAAGCAGGCTGAAAACAAAAACGTTAAGGGATGCAGTGCATGAGGTTTGGTTTCAATACATTTCAAACAATTCAAATATGTATATATACTTATTGTATGCATGTCTTTGAATATTATACATACACACACACACATATATATATATATATATATATATATATATTCAGAAGGTAGAGCGCTCGACTCCTAACCTGTAAGTCTCGAGTTTGGATCTCGGTCCAGCCTAAGCTTGCAGGAATCCCTGAGCCTACCCAGCTCTGATGGGTACCCGTGTTTTGATTGAACTGCTAGGCCTGCCGATTGTAACACACGACTGCTAATCAGGAAGTATCGAGTTCGGATCCTGTGCTAGAATTTGTAAACAGTCCCAGTGTCCACCCAGCTCTGATGGGTGTCTAAAGTCAAGGACCGTAAAACGTGGCTAGACATAGTGCTGACCACACTACCCTTTTATGTGCCGAGGTCACAAAACATGAAATTACTATATCTGCCCCATGTATCGTTAAGTCTGAAAGGGAAACAACTCGTTTGTTTTAATCTAAACCTCGCAGTCAATGATCTTTAGCCTACAAAGTTAAACTGTTTTGTTTGTTGACCAGCTTCCACAGCTTGACCACAGACAGCTGGTTGGACACAGACAGCTGAGACTTGCCCACCTCCAGCTTAGCTACATCACCTCTGGTTATGTTTGGCAGGATGGAGATCATGGCGTACCACAGGTAATAATTTGTTGACATTTTGTTTTATTTTGTTTTAAATTTTTTTAGTGCTGGGGCTAATGGGTTCTAGGAGTAGTTTAGAGGGGGGGGGGGGCGAAGAAAGTCTGCCCCCACGAACAAAATGGAGTTTATATAGAAAATATATACTTTTAAGTGTCCGCCCCCCCCCCCCCCCCGAAAATTTTAGTCCGGTCCCCCCCCCCGAAAGTTTCAAGTGCACCCCCCCCCCCCCCCGGAGAAAATAGTCTGGAAGATACACTGAACACACTTTATGGAAAATAAAGGCGACTGGGCATGGCGCTGATCACATTATCTCTGCCGGAGGTTAATAAACATGAATTCTATTTCATCTGCCCAATGGATCACTAGTTCTAAAGAGGATTCTTTACTTTACATTTTAATGTGAAACACCAGTTTTTTACATAAATCATTGTTACAAAATTAGATTCAACGATCACTGGAAGTTTTTCAAATTTAAATTAAATTGTATTTTAAAATAATCAGTTAAGATGTGGTTACGCTTTTTGTGTGAACACGAACACCTCCTTGGAGCACGTCTACCACCCCCACCCCTCAAGAACAAAATATAATTTATATAGAAAATATAGTGGCCTATACTTTTACCAGAGTCCCCCATCCCCTGGAAAATTTAGTGCGCCTCCCTCCCCCATCCCACCGAATGTTTAAGTTCGGAGAAAAAAGTCTGAAAGAAACATTAAACATGATCTATTCTTATAAAATGTGTAAATTTGAAAGTGAAATATTTTATAACTTAAATGTTTTGTTGTATGTATAATTTCCATAAGTTGCCAAAAAATCTGGCAGTTCCCCTCTACAAGATATCCCAAGAGCTTGGCATACAGCCCATCTTGAGCACCGCAGACCTGGGTTTGGCCAACTGGAAGCTAACTCACTCTGATAGGTTGGTGCTCACTGTACACCACTTTTTTTATTTTGGTCCTTTAGGTATTTAATTTATAATGGTGATTTAAAATGTTTGCCAGATTTTTAACAGTGATTTAAAATGTTTGCCAGATTTTTAACAGTAATTTACAATGTTTGCCAGATTTTTAACAGTAACTTACAATGTTTGGCATGTTAAAATGTTTGCCAGATTCCATCACATTTTTTACTAACACTTGTCTGCATAATGTCCTAAAAGATTTTTAGAAAAAAGTTATTAATTAAAATATTCTTGATGAAAGTTTACTATGTATTCGATTTTTTAAAAACCATTTTATATTTATTTTTTCTTTCTCAGGCCTCGCGACTTTGAGTAAGTTTCTGTTTGAATAGCTAAAAAATTATTTAGAAAATTAAGTATTTGTCTTTAACCGTAACGACACATCTCAGTTGGCTAGTATCTCTATGCCATTTAGCTGGTGTATAAACTGTTAGGCTAATCAAACTAAACGAGTTTTTTCTTCTAGAAATCTAGAGTGTATCTGCCACCCCCCTGGGGACTCAGAGGGTGACTGGTTCTGTATTGTGACCTTTATGGTGGAGTTCAACTTCTCAAATTGTTTGAAGGTAGGTGGTAGGTTTTAGTAGTTGAAAACTTGGTGTAGTATTTATTCTGTATTGTGACCTTTATAGTGGAGTTCAACTTCTCAAATTGTTTGAAGGTAGGTTGTAGATTTTAGCAGTTGAAAACTTGGTGTAGTATTTAACCTATGTTCTGTATTCTGACCTTTATGGTGGAATTCAACTTCTCAAATTGTTTGAAGGTAAGTTGTATATTTTAGCAGTTAAAAACTTGGAGTAACAGTACACTGACGACTATATATATATATATATATATATATATATATATATATATATATATATATATATATATATATATATATATATACATATATATATATATATATATATATATATATATATATATATATATATATATATATATATGCATGTATTTTTATCTTTATATATGTATATGTACGTATAAATTAAAAATAAATATGTATATATTAGTGTCAATGTCTATATATCTGGTTGTGAATGTCTCTGTGTGTGTATGAGTAAGTGTATGTATATATATGTCCAATATTTCAATACAGCCTATGGCCCACATCATTGAGACACTGGATACGTATGAAACTGCTAGAGATGACAGCTTAAATATGGACACAACAGAAGATCAGGTGACCCGGTATTTAGACGAGCTGACGGATGCCATTGCTACGATGAAGGCTGCCTTTGTTAAAATGCATGGTAGGTTTCAAACTTCACTCATCTGAGATAGACAGGTTACTGATTGATGTTTTTCTCTTAAATATTTTAGAATGGTCTTGTCTCCCACAGATAATCTTCAAGCCAACACATTTTTCAATGTCCTACGGCCTTTTCTTATGGGGTAATTTTCATTTGCCTAGCTTTGAATATTTATTGGTCAAACCTTTATTTTAAAAGGGAGTTAATTATTACTTAATCAAAATAAATTTCATTACAATTCCCTTGATTGTTTTAAAGATCTAGTAAAACCAGCATCATTAGTGTAGCAATGTTCCAATTTTATTCCAGTTCTATATCATTTATAGCGTATCGCAATAAAAATGCTAAAAGTAAATGTTTTTCACAAATCTTCAAGAAAGATTGAATACGTCTTTACTTTCCAATGAAACCTTTATTTAGCTGGGGAGGTAAAGGCAACCCATTACCAGATGGGCTGATCTATGAAGGCGTCTCTGAGCAACCACTGAAGGTACTACATTTTTTACACTGGATTTTAGCTTCTCTTGTACAAGTCTGTTGGTCTATAAAATTTACTGTTGTTTTGACTTCTGGCCTCTCATAATAGCTACACATGCAAAATAATATATTCACACTTTAATAGTGTTAAAGACACATCTTTCACCTTTTCTCGTTCGTGGCCAAGACACAATAGAGTTAATATGTTTCAATGACCTAGGCATACAAGGGAATAGTATAACATCGACTTACAAGGGGATAGTGTGGTCAACACTATGCCCCGCCACCTTTGTTTCCCTGATGTCAATCAGGTACCCATCAGAGCTGGGTGGTTTCATTGACGTTCTAAGGACTCGAACCCGGGATCTGATATCCAAAGACTTTCGGGTTAGCATTCAGACCTTTTCGAACCTGACGGTCCACGCGGCAGGTAAAATAGAGTTCGCCTGTTTCAGTGATCTCGAAAATTAATGGATAGTGTGGTCAGCGTGATGCCTAACAGTCCTTACTTCCCCTAACGTGAGTCGGGTACCCATCAGAAATGGGTGGACTCAGGGACGTTCTACGGACTTGAACCCGGGATTCGAAATCGAGACTTACGGGTTAGCAGTAATATTCTATTTCCTGTGCTAATTCTTGGGTTGTGTGTAAATATTTCTGTTGTATTTCATGAGTTAGTTCCTGGGTTGTGTGTAAATATTTCTGTTGTGTTTCATAAGTTAGTTCCTGGGTTGTGTAAATATTTCTGTTGTATTTCATGAGTTAGTTCCTGGGGTCAAGCGAGGCACAGAGCGGCACCCTGCAGCTGTTGGATGGCTTCCTTGGCGTACAGCACACTGAAGGTCAGGTGTATTGTGGTGTTCATCAGGGTTTCTTTCAGGCATTTTTCCGGGCGGAAGGGGCACTTCACATTTCCGGGAGGGGACGGGGGCTGACATAGGGTAATGGTGGAAAGGTTGTTAGACAATCCAAGGTTAATGGGGGGGGGGGGGTGGGAGACGGCTGAAAATGCACTTGCGTTCAATACATGCAGGGCCAGCGCTACCTATAAGGCGAACTAGGTGGCCGCCTAGGGCGCTGGCTGCAGGGGGGGGGGGGCGTCAAAATGGGTTGAAAAACAAATTGAAAGTTTGAAGGCGGGGGAGGGGGGGGTGCAAATCAAAAGTTTGTCCCCGGGGTCAAGGAAAAAATTGCGGGGGGGGGGGGGGGGAGGCGCTTTTAATAAGGTTTGCCTAGGGTGCCAAGTAACCTGGAGCCGGCACTGTATACTTAGCGTCACAATCATGTGGGGGGGGGGGGGGTGGGTAGGGGGGCTGCAATGTAGGCTTGCAGATCTTTCTAGATTTAATACACTAATTATTTACAAATACAAAACCGAGGGAGAAGTAAATGCTTTAGTGTGATCGGATTGTTGAATGTTTATTTTTAGACAAGAGAGAAACTTTACTGCACATGCGCAGCTACATGTTGCCCGGACACAGGGCCATCATTGAGGATGTTGAACGAAGGGAAACAACTCTCAGAAATTTTGGTATTTATAATTAGTTTATAATTAGTTTATAATTTAGTTTATAATTAGTTTATAATTAGTTAATTAATCTACTACTCTAATCCTCAATTATTCTAAAAAAGAAAGCTGAACTCCTTAAAAAAAATTACTGTACAATAAATCGCTGAATATAAAGAGATTAAAATAACAACAATGTATCTTACAGTTCTATCAAGCCGTAACAAATCTCTACATTCGGCATACAATAGATGTCTCTCAGCTGTTGTAAACTTTAGGAGCTATCATTTGCAGATTGTAACCAAGTAAGTTGTCTCCCTCTTACATATTGTTGGTTACATCTCGAAGTCATTACCTTCAAATTACTAGTTATCTCCCCATGTTATTAATTTCAGATTTTAAATTACCCCCCCCCACCTAGTGTGCATCGATGTATCGTTCCCCTGTTACTTCCCTTTAAAGCCGTTACTAGCTTGAGTGCCACTAGTTCCTGTCTTTTTACATTTACAGACGAAAAGTTTTGTTAAGTTAGTTGAATTAAAAAAAAAAGCTCGACAAATGGAATCAGCCAGTTGTCTCTTTGTTCTAGGTACATTGTTGCGGCATCCAGACATGGCGTGAGTGGTCAACACGACAACGATGATCTCAAGGGGACAGGGGGGACAAGTACGTTTTTTGTAACACTACTATTATTTTTTTGTGTTTTTTGAAAACATCAAACGAAGTTTTTAAAATAAATAATTAAATAACAAATCATTTTAAATGAAAAAAATAAAATAAAATAAAAACGATTTAATATGCATGCTAATTTTCAAATAATGTTTTTTGTCCACTGGCATAATATTCTTGTTAAAAACTGATAGATTTCAATTGTTTTTAGATATAATAATAATTCAGTTTTTTATGTTACCTAATTGTTGATTCATGCGCGATTTTTGAAACACCAAAATTATTTGATTTTCTTTTATTTAAATAAATTGTAATTAGATCCCCCCTCTTGTTTAAAAATCTAAATATATTTGTGCCGCTCTAAATACTCGTAACCCTAAGTACATATCTCTTAACCAATAGTAGCATCGTTATACGTTTAACATGTTAGTTATTGGTCTTCGACTCAAAGAATCGAACCGTTTTAAAGATGAAATAAATAGAAAAACCACGTTAAACTTTCTCCGGAGAGAAAAAACATGTTTCTTGATAAAATTATTTGCTTATTGTAGCAGCATATTTTTTTATTGATAGAGATTCTGTCAAAATTTATACGCCTCCCCTGGCTCATGTCCGCCCCCGCCTCTCCCTCCGTATTGAAAGCAATGATTCACCCAAGCAAACACTACGATACATACATTAAAATAATTAGCCATAATGCATAAAAAATGTTCCAGCATAATGTACTTGCATACCACCCAATAACGTATATTTTAGTAGCTCCGTTATAAAGTCAACAATACAACGATGATCTCAAGGGGGACAGGGGGAACAAGTACGTTTTTGCAACAAAACTATTTTTGTATGTTTTTTTGAAAACATCAAACTGAGTTCTAAAAATAAATAATTAAATAACAATAATTTAAAATGAAAAAAAAAACAATTAAATAAAAATAAATTAATATTCATGATAATTCAAAAACAATGTTTATTTTCCATTGGCATAGTATTCTTATAAAAACTGATAAGATTTCAATTGTTTTTAGATATAATAATAATGCAGTGTTTTAATAATCAGTTACAGTCTTGTATCCATTTTTTGAAAACCAAATATATTTGACCCCCTGTTTAATAAAATAAATATCTGTGCGCCGCTCTAAATACACGCAACACAAAGCAAGTGTCTCGTAACCAGCATGAGCATCGTTATAAGTTTAACATGTTAGTTATTGGTCTACGACTCAATGAATCGAGCCGTTTGTTCTCATCCATTTTTAAAGATGAGATAAATAGAAAAACAACATTAACCTACGATACACACATTAAAATAATTAGCCATAATGCATAAAAAATGTTCCACCATAATGTAGGCCTGCTTGCATACCACCCAATAACGTATATTTCAGTAGCTCAGTTATTAAGTCAATAATACAACAATGATCTCAAGAGGACAGGGGGGACAATTACGTTTTTCGTATCAGATCTATAGTTTTTTTTGTGTGTTTTTTGAAAACATCAAACAGAGTTTATAAAATAAATAACTAAATAAACTTTATTTAAAACGAAAAATAAATAAATAAAAAACATTATAATTCATGCTAATTTTAAAATCATATTTATTGTTCACTGGCATAATATTCTTATAAAAACTAATACGATTTCCATTGTTTTTTAGGTATAATATTAATGCAGTGCCTTAATAGCCCGTTCATATTTGTAAGTGCGTTTTTAAAAACCAAAATTATTTGACCCCCCCACCCCAATCCATTATTACAAAATATAAATATTTTTGCGTCACTCTAAATACACGCAACACAAAGCAAGTGTCTCGTAACCAGCATGAGTATCGTTATAAGTTTAACATGTTAATTATTGGTCTACGACTCAAAGAATCGAGCCGTTTGTTCTCATCCATTATTCAAGGATCAGATAAATAGAAAAACCACACTAACCTTTCTCCGGAAAGAAAATTTGTTTCCTGATAAAGATTATTTGCTTATTTTAGCAGCATATTTTTTTTATTGATAGAGATTCTGTCAAAATTTATACGCCTCCCCTGGCTCATGTCCGCCCCCTCCCCTCCCTCCGTATTGAAGGCAATGATTCACCCAAGCAAACACTGCGATACACACATTAAAATAATTAGCCATAATGCATGAAAAGTATTCCAGCATAATGTACTTGCATACCACCCAATCTATATATATAATTCTCTTCTTGGAGACGTTAGAAAACACCAAGCTGTAAGTAAGCGCGCCTAGCAGTCCCCTCTCTTCCTCTATAGGCCCACATGGTCTGGTGAGCTGTGGTTCACGCTAAGCGGCTAAATGCTTACAATCGTAGAGCCGGGTTTAAGGACGCCAATTAGGGGCAGATAATTTAGTTTGAAACTATTTTAAACTTAGGGGAGGTAACTAAAAGGAGGCTGCTTTCACGGGGTGGGGGGGGGGGGGGGGGAGAGTTTGGGGGTAAAGGAGGGTTTTAGTGTTTCAAAGCAAATATTTTCAGTGACAGCATTGGTAATGTCGAACTCACAAATTATGAATTACTGAAAAGTAGAAAATAAAACAACTAAATAGCAGCGTGTGATACGCCGCGGGTCGGCTCGTATGTATTAATACTAATAGTTTCGCTGTCTGTCTATCTGACAAGAACGCTCTGTCTGACAAGAACGCTCTGTCTGACAAGAACGCTCTAGAGAAAACACAAGCAATTTAAAAACATGCACAGTAATTCGAAAAACGAAATATGACGTCGACACATTTAGCGTAGAGTAGAACATAATCTCAAACCAGAGAGTGCACACAGTAATATGACGTCATTGATTATCGCGTAAACATTGAAAAAAAGGAAATGTTGTCTAATCTAAATGGTTTGCGTGAAGAGTTTCTTGCATACAATTCTTCGGGTAGGGGCGAAGCCCCACCCCCCGCGTAAGAACGTCTGAGCCCCCCCCCCCTCCCCAACTCAAAAGAAATTTCCTCATCGATACTCTATAATAAAATTACAGCCTAATTAATGTGTCTAATCTAAAAAGTGGTTTTCTTGCAATGGGAAGGTAGACATGTTTTTTTTTGGGGGGGGGGTTGGGGGGGGTGGAGGGGTGGGGGGGGGGGGTGGTGTGTAGGGGTGGGGAGGGGGGTGGGGGGTGGTGTGTGGGGGGGTGGGTTGGTTTCAGTGTTTCTTTCAGACTTTTTCCTCCCCGGAGAGGGGTGGGGGGTACTTGAAATTTTCGGGGGCGGGGGTAGAATTTTCTGGGAGGGGGCGGACACTGGAAAAAGTATATAATTATATTTCGTTGAATGGGACGGTAGACATGTTTTTTTTTGGGGGGGTGGGGGGTGGGGGGGCGGTGTGTGGAGGGGGTGGTGTGTGGGGGTGAGGGGTGGGGGTGGTGTGTGGTGGGGGTGGGGGTGGTGTGTGGGGGTGGGGTGGGGGTGGTGTGTGGGGGGGGGGGTGGGTTGGTTTTAGTTTAGAGAAAAGAGACAGCACTATCAGCCTAGCGCCCGTTGTACCCTTCCTCAACGGGCCATTTTTCTCGTATTTTAATAGCTCAGCTAAAAAAGTCAAGACAACAATGATTTCAAGGGGACAGGGGGGACAAGTACGTTTTTGTAACAAATATTATTTTTTTTGTGTTTTTTTGAAAACATCAAACAAAGTTTTTTTAAATAAATAATTAAATAACAAATAATTTAATATGAAAAAAATTAAATAAAAATGATTATATGCAAGATAATTTTAAAATAATATTTATTTTCCACTGGCATAATATTTTTTATAAAAAAACTGATAAGATTTCCAATGTTTTTAGATATAATATTAATGCAGTTTCTCGATCATCTAATGAATCAATGAGGTGGGTTGTTTTGGAAACTAAAATTAGTTGAACCCCTCCCTTTTTAAAAATATAAATATCTTTGCACCACTCTAATTACTCTCAATCCGAAACACGTGTCTCTTAACCAGTATTCAATTTATTCAATGTATTCAAAAACGGTTACAATTGTAGGCACGAATGCCTTTTTTCACAATGGACGTTTAAACAAATAAAAGAATATGAATAGAGAGTGTGGTCAGCACTAAGCCCAGCCGCCTTTACTTTCCCTAACATGAGTCAGGTACCCATCGTAGCTGGGTGAACTCAGTGACGTTCAACAGACTTGACCCGGATTCTAACTCAAGATTTTCGGGTTAGCTGCCTAGCGCTCTACCACTATCGACAAGGGAGATAATATCAGTACAGGGAGGTAACAAAGTAATTTTTGTTTCTCTTTCTAAAACCAGATCTGATTCCGTTCTTGAAAGGTTTGAGAAGCGATACAGAGGACGCAGCGACTGTCCCACACGATAAGAAAACAAAGTTCAGTATAAAAAGGGAAGTAATCATTGCAGCTTTTGTCATCACCGGAGTAATCACAGCAATAAATCTCTCCTGGGTTAGGTCAATGATTTAAATTATTATATTTATTGTTTCGTTTAAGAGTTGGAATGGTAGTAAAAGATGTTACTTTTAATAAAGAATTTTTAATAAAATTAGAACTGTTGGTTGCATTAGGATTTTTTGGTCTCTTCTTTTGAAATAATGTAGAATTAAGCAGAAACATTTTTATATATCTCATCTAACGTTGACGTTATTTTTCTGTACCATGGAAGAAATGGGAGCCATGCAGTTCAACCATACGCAAGAACAAAAAGTCGCCATATACATTCCTCGTGCATGCATTGACTAAATGCTGCACTTTTGGTCCTTACTTACCTTACTTATAATAAGTAATAACCTACAAGTAATAAAATTTAATACAGCGAACAATAATTAAAATCTAATATAAAAACGAAAAAGCTGAGGTGATATTCGAATGTCATGGTCTAAGTCATTACTGCCAGTCAGTTTAGTCTGTATCTAATGGCCTTCATAGCTGAGACTCTGTGGTAGATGTCATGTATCCAATGGTTGATGAGGTGGACGATCACATGACTTCGCTCATTTGACTACACCTAATCAGTAGCTGATTAAATCTTTAATTAGTAACAACACTAGGCCTACAACTACATGGCCGTTTTTTTCTACATTAATCAGAAGCGGAAGTTTGATCACATGACCTAGTTAGCTGACGTTACATGAAATACGTAACTATGGTATTTTTTGGACGCAATTATATCCATTTATATAGGTATAATTGAGCGGTAAAACTTGTTAGTTTTCATTAATTTTCACACCTATCTCAAAACCGTTTAGTAAAAATTTAAAAGTTTTTCTTTTATCCAAATGTTTTCTTCGTTTATTTTTGCGTGTAGCCGAAGAACAGGGGGCATTAAAAGTTTAAATTCCTGACTCTGTTGCGTCCCTTTAATAATTTAAATTGAGAAGTAAAAGCGTTCAGTTATTAACCCCTCAATAGAACATTTCTGAGAATCTGGTATTTTTCCAGGCGCCTACAGCACCAGATCTATCTCCTTATCAAATCTCACTTTTTTGTCACATCTGCAAGTGGTCGATCTAATTCAAGAACTTTAAAAAATATTTAGTTTATATTAGACCGCGGTCACTCTAGGTCACTTTTCGGTCATTTTAAACTCGACTTCTGAGATGACTTTAATTTTCCCGGTAAAAAGAGAGTGAACAGAAAACTTTGGCAAGAAAATTTTTCCGGCAACATACCTGCAAGTACCAGATCTAAGAGGAGTCAGTAACAAATAAACACAACCATCACCCGCTTTGCTTTTATAGATATGAAAGACAGAAGAATCAATTTAAAAATAAATTCATATGCGTTTTACATGATATCGGAATTAGGGTAAGGTACTTTTTCCGGTCATCGGAAATTACTCAAAATTTTGTCAGCAAACAAAGAAATAGAGCTTCGACATATAAGTAAAATTTCTTCTATCTAACTGAAACAGTACTTAAGTTATAAGCTTTTGAAAATTCAAAAGTAAAATAAGTTCCACTTCCGATTATCGGAAATCGCTGAAACTTTGATGCAGAACTACACATGTTATATAATACATATATGAAATTTCGTTAAACTAGCCATCACGGTATACAAGTTATCGTGTTCACAGACAAAAAGACACATAGACACACTGACACACGGACGCACAGACACACAGAGAGACACAGATAAGATTGCAAAATTATGTTTTTCCGACAAAGGGAGGTCTAACACCTCGAGTTTTTGAAAATATTGATTTCGATTCTTTGCACGACTACAATACTTTCTCTATACTCTATACACGCGAAAGTAAAAAAAAAATATATATATAATCTTGGTTTATTTAAAAAAATACCAATTTAAAAAAAATACTTTAATTCCTCCCGGTAGAAAATTACCACAAAAGATCCTGGTATCTCCTACTAGACCACCGTACCAGGGCCCACATTTATCCCCTACACAACCAGACCACAGTTCGCTCTAACGGAGTTGATGATATCAGCAACAAACGCCGCAACAAGGTTTCAGCTTTGTTGTCGTTTGGTCAGGGAGAACTTCATTGACGCGCGCTAGTTAAAAATAAACTGCCCGCTTGACCTGTGAGATTAGTAAAGCCAGCATGAGCTCCATGATTCACGATGGATTAGCTGATCTAAAAATAGATCTGAATTATTACCACGTGTCAAATAAAACTGGATTTATGCTAGACCACCCTCTGGTGAGTGCTATTTCTACACCACAACCGTCACACACACAATCTAAAAACATCTTAAAATATTCCCACTATATTTTTTTTAAATATTTATTTTAGCGAAACAAATGACTAGTTTTCTTGACATTCTCACAAAACTCAATTAACGTTGAGAAGTTACTTTATAATAATCACAATAAATGAGGCAAATTTGCTGCATATTTCGAAGCTAATCGAAAATATCCAAATTAAAGTAGCAGAAGTTGTTGAGCAGTTAGAAAAATGAATCTTTCGTACCTTACGGTCCATGGGGCTGGTGAATTTGAGTACCAGACGCCTATACTTTAACTAACGTGGACCTGTAGGGATCCGAACTCGAGACTTTCGGGTTAGCAGTCTAACACTCTACCACTCGACCATACTGCCCACCAAAATATTCACACTATTCACAAAAATTGTTGGGTGTTCAGCAATACGTATAAAATAATTAACACCTTTTTGCTTTCCCCGCCCCACCAGACGGAGCTACCAGCCTACTTCAAACCATGGGAGAACATCGCCAGTTCTGTGGCCAGTCTAATAGAGCGTCGAGAACTCAGGAATGTTGTCTTAAAGGTCAGTGACCCTACCATTAAATCAGTCTAATGACGTGTGTAATATATACATGGAGGGGAAAACAGGGTTAAGAGAAGAAAGATGCTTTGCAACTACATTCGCGTTTTGTCCACCACACTACATATTGCTCTCAAAAGATTTGGACTTGTTCTTCAAAGATTAGCTTTATGAGACGAACTCGAAGCGTAAAAAAATTGAAATAAAACTATCATAATTAATGCAGTTTCTTCAATTAAACTTCCCTCTCAGCAAATAGTATTTTGTTGGGTAATTCAAGGTACCATTCCAGACCTGAAAGCCTATAGAGCAGATGATATATGTTTGTATGTGGTTCAGATATTGGAATATGATTGAATTGAGTAGTCCGCGCAATGTGAGCCGTCTTTAATAACTTTCAAATTCGAGTCAGATACCAATTTTTATGTCTCTATATGTGTGCTCTACCATCCGACTTAAAGGTCTAAAACTTAATGTATTTTATCCGAGAATATTTTCGATTTAATATCTGCGTTCCTTGCTTTCCGAGTTGTGCTCAAAATAAGATTCTCTTCTCATGTCCCTGGCTCTTCTTGTTTTATCTGACTTATACAAGTTTTCTTATACTTCTATACGTTCATTTAGCACAATCGTATAGAAGTTAAATTTTTCTATACAGATTCTCTATTGGATCGTTAGTAACCATTATTTCTCAACTGGCTGTATAACATACTTAGCTAACAAGTCTGGCTTTATAATAATCTTAGTTACCAAGTCTCTCTATAGTTCTCTATTGGTCCTATAACAACCCTAGTTACCACGTCTCCTTATATTTCTCTATAACTGGTCCTATAACAATCCTAGTTACCAAGTCTCCCTCTACGTCTCTATTGGTCCTCTAACAACCTGAGTAACCAAGCCTCCCTGTACTTGTCCAGATGCCCCTACTTGACCACAACAAACTGACGGGCCACAGACAGCTGAGACTCGCTCACCTGCAACTGGCCATGATCGCGTCTGGTTATGTCTGGCAAGACGGTGACGTCAATGTGCCCAAGGTAAATTACAGGTGTCCGCTGTCAGCTAAAAATAAAGTCAGCAACATATTTCATTCATATACGGTCATTCAGTTTCCTATTTAAATGTAAGACCTTTAATTTAATTAAAACCCCTAACGATAGTTACAGCCATTAACAATTCTACTACTTGTATAAGAAGTGACATCCCTGAATTTTTAAATTACAGGTGCTGCCTAAGAGTGTGGCCGTTCCCCTGTATTACATATCTCAACACCTGGGCATTCAACCCATCTTAAGTAACGTTGACCTCGCTCTAGCCAACTGGAACCTAGTGGACCATAAAGGGTAGGTCCCACCTAATACAATTCCAACATTTCAATATTTAGTTAACTTAGTTTTTAAGACATAGTTTTAGCAAAGCATTTATGTCATTATATATATAAATAATAGCTATTTTTCACTGATTATTTAATCCATAACAATTACAAATATACTTGTTTTTTTTTTACAGGCCAATGGACTTTGAGTAGGTTTTAATTTAATTGACTGAAAATGAAAAATATACATTGAAAGATCTTTGAAATAAATTGTACACACCAGTTACTCTTTGCTGCCATACCCCAAATCTAAATGTTTCATTAATATGGGGCCTATACTTAACCGATTTAGATGCCAAATGATTATCAACCATTTAATTGACGCGGCTGTGAATAACCTCATAAAGGTTTATACAATATTTTAAAAAATCTGGTGCGATATTATTCAAATAAATATCGTCATAAAAACCTGACTGGTTTGTGACGGGCTTAAGATTGGATGTATTTGATGTTTTGGTATTTTCGGTTAATTTTTAAAAAGACAAAAACAGTTTGATTTTATCACACCAAACGACAACAATTATAGTTGAACCAAGTCGTGTGGTTTAAAATGTTTTAGAATTTTGTTTTAAAAATTTTTATCGGCAAAATCCAGAAGCGTTTTGCAGCTTTAAGCACTGTACTTTATATCTTACAGGAACAAAAGTACCATATAATTTTGCATTGTAAGTAACTTGGTGTGTGGGTTTACGTATGTGTGTTTGTATCTGTATAGATGTTTGTGTGCGTTTGTGTGTTTGTACCTGTATATATGAACATTTACGTTTGTGTGTGTGTGTTTATACCTGTATATATGTACATGTATGTAAGTGTACGTGTGTTTTTGTGTAGAAACTGTTTTCTTTTCTATCGCTCTCATTAAAATGTTGCATGTTAACACCACTGTATATCTGTCTACCTGAGCAGCAACCTTGCCTGTATCTATCACCTACCTGGTGGGGCAGAGAGCGACTGGTTTTTTATCGTGAACTTCATGGCAGAATACAACTTTGCCAAATGCCTAGAGGTAAAGGACTGTGTTTCTTTCAGACGTTATTCTCAGGGGGAAGGAGCACTTAAAACTAACGTTGGGGGATGGGGGGGGGGGGGGGGGGGGAAGATGAATACAATTTTTTTGGTGTGTGTGTGGAACACTGGTTATAATTTATACAATCATTTATATTTTTTTCTATTTCATGGGGGACGGGAGGGGGGGGGGGGGGGGGGGGGGCGGTGGACTTGCTTCGAGTGTGGGGGGGGGGCGAAGCCTGAAAGAAACTCTGGTAGAAGTGTGCTTGAAGAATCATTTTCATAATGAATAAGGCGATTAAACGTATACTAAGAAATAATTATTTATGACCATGACGTTAGCTTTATTACGGATGTGTGGGGTGGGGGGGGGGTTTGAGTCGAGTGTGTGTGTCATTGCCGTGTGTTTGTGTTTGTATATGTAGAATGGGGTAGTTGCCCCCCCCCCCCCCCCCCCCTTTAAAGAATTATTATAAAACTACCTGAAAACATGTTTTTGAAATTTAGCTGCCTTGTTAATACAAACATTTTTTCCCCCTATAACGAACAACGTCTCCAGCCGATGGTGAATATTTTAGAAGTTCTAGACAACTACCAGAAGCTTCCTGTGGGTGACGTCACACAGAGAGACAGAATCGTTGACAGACTGGTGAAACAGCTGGATGGACTGTTGGCTGGAATCTTGGACATGCAGTACTCACTCACACGCATGCACGGTAGGGGCTGTACACTCACACGCATGCACGGTAGAGACTGTACACTAACACGCATGCACGGTAGGGCCCATACACTCACACGCATGCACGGTAGGGGCTATACACTCACACGCATGCACGGTAGAGACTGTACACTCACACGCATGCAGGGTAGGGGCTGTACACTAACACGCATGCACGGTAGGGCCCATACACTCACACGCATGCACGGTAGGGTCTATACACTCACACGCATGCACGGTAGAGACTGTACACTCACACGAATGCAGGGTAGGGGCTGTACACTCACACGCATGCACGGTAGGGGCTATACACTCACACGCATGCACGGTAGGGGCTGTACAATCACACGCATAAACCGTAGTGGCTATAACGTCACACTCTTATATGTCCCTTAGTCTGCTCTTTTTATTCCGTCATATCGAAAGGAGATTGATTAAATGTTTTAATTGGTCTCAATAATTTGTTTTTAGGGCGGTCACTTTAATTTCTCTCTTGTTAAAGTTAGTTTGGTCATCAGTTAAAACTGTACGAATAATTTTAGAGTTATAACATTACATGGGATGTAATAATTTATACAATTGACCATCCATTTTACTGCTTCGCTTGAATATCTGTTATAAAAATATATCAACAGTTCAACAGTTCTATACACAAACCTGCCTATTAGCTTAATTTGTTTTCGCCTTTAATATGCATTCTATTATATTTTTAATATTTTTCTCTCTCTCAAAACATAGTATTCATCCTACAACTGAATCTTCAAACATTTTTTTTAAAACTAAAGCTTGAGGGTAATACATTAGAGAAGATAATAAAACAACTCTATGGGTACTCTAGTCTTAAGTTTAAAGTATTTACCCGTTTATTTGTTTTACGCGTTTACAGTAACTATGTCTGTCGTATTTGTCTTACACGTTCACAAAAATAATGTCTGTCGTATTTGTCTTACACGTTTACAATAACTATGTCTGTCGTATTTGTCTTTTACATTCACAAGAATAATGTCTGTTGTATTTGTCTTATACGTTTACAATAACTATGTCTGTCGTATTTGTCTTACACAGACAAACTGGCTGGGGAGACGTTTTACAAAGTCATCCGTCCCTTCTTTGGTGGGTAAGTCATGACTTTGTTTTAAGTGACTTTAGGCAGGCTGCGTGATCAGTTACTGGTTTTACAAAATGAGATGTGAGCTAACATTGACCAGTCGATAGAGAAATCAATCACAATATTGATCTGTAAGAAGGTAAGGTAGGCCATGGTAAACTGACATCAAGAATGAAATGCAACAAATTAACATTTACATAAGGGAAACAAAATATATAAAAATATAGAGCAGGTTAAATAAAATTCAGATAAAAAACTACTAAAAGTAAAACAAACACAGAACAGGACAAATAGCTTAAATGACCAATGAACAAGAAACAAGGAGCAACTACAAAAAACTAATACACACACGCCTCAGTTGTTGTGAAGTGTATTTAATCGGAAGCTTTGAAAACTCAAAGTTCACATACTGCATGATAGTACTGCGGTTACCAAACTGATAGGCGCTGGATTGCGAAAATTTTAGGCTGTCGCTTGATCTACTTTTTTTTACCGTCGTTATGGTAATGATGGCCGCCGAAAACGACGATACGGGGGTTCCATATTTTAACAATGTTTAATTGTCATTTCAATAACACATACTTATATAATACGTCCGATGCTACATACAGTATGGGCGTCCAAATATGGAAGGTTGGAGCGGCCTATACGACAACAGACATATATAATACCACCATAAAAATTACCTGGACACATTGTCTGTAGCGTCAGTTTTTTTTTGGGGGGGGGGGGGGGGTAATTATATATGTCTCGAGGGGGGGGGGGGGATATATATGTCTGTTGTTGTGTAGGCCGCTCCATCCTTCCATATTTTGCCGGTCACATTGTCTGTAGCGTCAGTTTCGGGGGGGGGGGGGTAATTATATATGTCTCGGGGGGGGGGGAAATATATATGTCTGTTGTTGTGTAGGCCGCTCCATCCTTCCATATTTTGCCGGTCACATTGTCTGTAGCGTCAGTTTCGGGGGGGGGGGGGTAATTATATATGTCTCGGGGGGTATTATATATGTCTCGGGGGGGGGGGGGTATTATATATGTCTCGGGGGGGGGGGGGTATTTTATATGTCTGTTGTCGTGTAGGCCGCTCTATCCTTCCATATTTAGACTGCCACACTGTCTGTAGCGCCATAAGATATTTGGGTTGTTAAGCGCTCTGGTTGCAGGTTGTTCCTCACAAGTGTTAGGACACCCCGTGCATGGGCAGCGGTACTGGGTCTACCCCGACATGTTACATTTTTTTTACGATTTAAAATGAATATTTGGATTAACGCTACGTCGACTCTATTTTTGATAGTCTTACTTATTTTTACAATTGTACCTGCGTGGCCGAGTCGGTAAAGCTCATGGTTGCTGAACCGAAAAGTCTCGAGTTCGAACCCTCGGGCAGATGAGGCTCGTTAGCTAGGAGAGACAACTCCAAAATGAAACAACTTCTGAAATCAAGTCAATGGCCTCAATGGCGCATAACCAGTTGACACGTATACTTAATTGTGCTGGAGGGGATCCCTTCAAACACTAAAATAAAGAACGAAGAACATTTGTGCACTACGCATTTAAGTATAAGATAATTAAAATCCTTCCGTTTTCTCGTGTACGCTATTTTTATCACCCATATCTTCACTTCTGTCATGTCCATTAGGCCGTAGGTTTGCTTTCTTATTTTTAGAAATTCCTTTTCCTCATTTTCCACATGGGTTTCCCTTGCCCTCAATTTTCGTGACTTTCTGGGGGTGGGGTATAATCCCTTGTGGTGAGTGTCAAGCACATTACATCTCACCAATCTGGTCCCACAGCATTTCAGTTTCATTGTCCTTGATCGGTCCGGGTACACGGTACTATTTATTTTTACTACATCTCATGAAGTTTTATTTGGTTATAGTCTCAGTGCCAGTTTTCACGACCAGCCCTCTGACTTGAGATGGTTTTTAACCAAGATAAAAAAAAAATCTCTATCCACTGTTAGCTACAAACGTTTTACCCAACCCTATCCCCAAGTGGGATTTACCCGTCGGGACTCTGCGAGGGCCGCGTGAAGGCCGCGAATTCAAGAAAAAAATAATCTGGGATCACGAGCTTATCTCTTTTATCCCCAGTGGTCATCTCCGGTCTTCAAGGGTACCTCCCCCAGGGGTTACCAGTGCGACCATGAGTCCAAACCACCGGGCGACCTCTCAGTACATAATAAGTACAATTTGATCAGTGGCTTGATTAATTAAGTCAAGCTAAAAGCTTTTGGACTTGCTACCGGGAGTTTCATTAAAAAATCTTTTAAAATAAAATTGATTTTTATTTTCTGTTTCTCTCTCTCAGGTGGGGAGGAGAAGGAGGCCCCATGCCCGATGGACTGGTCTATGAGGGCGTGTCGGAAAATCCTTTAAAAGTAAAACTAAACAAAACACTTTCTGATGTTGTCATGTCGTATATAGAGATGATGTTGGTTAAGTTTGGATACTGATGCCTGGATTTAATCATAGAGCACGAAACATCACTGAGCTGACTCGGCCTCCATAGGTACTCGACACTAGTTGAGATGGGGGATGGGGGGGGGGGGGCATAAAGCTCGCATATAATGTAGAGACAAAACGAGTCTGTTTTGATATGGGGAATAGAAATCTGATTAGTCTAATGAAAATATTAGCGTAAGTAAAAGTCTAACTAAAAATATCTACTAATTTCTAATAAAAATTCAATCAACAACTATCAAGGCACAAAGATCAAATTCAGATTCTAAGCTAAGTCATCAAGACCTTTTTTATGGATTTACACATATATTTTCCCAACAGTTAAATACCATTTTTCTGTATTATTTGTTTAAAAATTTTGTTATGGTTTTGATTAAGATCTCCTTTATCCTCCTAGTTTAACTGCCTCCCGTATCTTCATTGCAACATTTCTCATATATCTATTATATTTTTATTCTATCTAATTTTGTATTATTATTGTAATATTATTTCTTTATTCCAAATCCTATAACGCTGTGTTACTGCTATGTGTTTTCTACTCCATTGCTTTTTATTACCATGCTATTATTTGTTGTTGTTGTTGTTTTGAATACGGTATGTGTGAAAAAAGGTCTCCTTGCTTACTGTTGTTATCGTTATTGAATAAATGTAAAATCCTCCTAGTTTTGTGGTAACACAGGAGCCCAATCGTCAACCCTTCAACTTCTGGACACCCTGCTCTGTGTTGAACATGACCAAGGTGAGATAATGTTAAACCTAGTAAAACTTGCTAGGATCAACTTACAGTTATATAAAATGTACAGCATCTTTTATTAAATGTACAAGTCAACACATTTCGGATTGTCATACATTTGCTAATTAAAGTCAGCCACGAAATCGGCAATATGAAAACTTTATTTCAAGAATATTTTTAATATAAATTTGTTGTTGGTCGTTTGTGTTTCGTAAAGCTAAAGTTTACATACTTTCTTATATATTTGAAATCTTAGACTCGTATAAGCAATTATGTTTGGATTATCTGTGATAAGGATCTGTGTTAGTTGTTTCCAGATTTTAGTTATACATGAGTTTCACGTTTCTCGTTTGTTTACTTTAATGTCCAGAAAAACGAGACACGATTTTGCTGATGAGGATGTACATGCCCACAGCACATAAAAGACTGATCGAGGACATTGAGAACAGGAAACACAAGCTGAGGCATTTAGGTACAATGTAGTTAACATTTTTTACTGCTTGTATTACATTGTTGAAATTACATATTATAATATGTGTATATAAAAAGTAATATAATTAAATCATTTTCCAATGTAAAATAGAATGTAATATAGAATAGAATTGTGTTGTGCATCTATAAGCTTGTACTGTTTATAATTAAAGCCAGTAATGCCAATAGATCCAAGGAGAAAATCAATGCTCCATAAAGTGGAAATATGGTTATGGGCACGATACTTGTTCTATCGTAGTCATCTTTCTTTATTTTTATTTCGATTGAAGTCGGCGCCAATGATGTTGAAGTCCTTATTCTGTTTTCCTATCAGTCACCTCAGCCATGTTAAAATCTGTTTTCTTTTTCAATTTGCTTCAGTCATGCTAAAAACTGTTTCTCTTTCAGTCACCTCAAGTCATATTTCTCATTTCAGTCACCTCCAGTCATGTGGATTCACTGACAGAGGCCTATAACAAGAGTCTTTCAGCCGTTGTCAAGTTCAGAACGGGTCATCTTCAACTAGTCACAAAGTAAACATGTTGTGTTTACCTCCTAACATAGTCGATCTTTACATACTTTCAAAAACAATTTTTTAAACTAATTAATTGACCGGTAATTAATCTAGATCTGCTTGGAATGTCATTCAAGACTATCTTATTTTTTTTCACAGTGATTTTTTTAATAGTTTTTAATTAATTTAAACGTTTCATATTGTGTTTAATGATGCTTTATGTACCCTTTTGATAATTCTTACGTGGAACGTTTTTTTTTTTTTTAAATTTTTGAGCATTGTTTAGACCAGGGGTTCCCAACCCTGTGCCCGCGGGCGCTATGGCGCGAGCTGAACGATTCGTATGTGCCCGCCTCTCACTATTCGACAGAGACAGAATTTTTTTCATAAACATTATTTTAAAATTTGATTTATTTTTATTCATTTGTTACAGTTTTAATTTTTTTTTGACTGCCTAGGTTTATTAAATTTGTTCGATACTTGTCCCAAGTTGTCTAGCGGCGAGCCAGACTGCACTATTTACGTTTTGTAAATACATTTCTCTGTGTGTATGCAATTTGAAAAAAATGCCAAATAATGTTATTATTTTGAAACATTTTTGTTTATTATTTATTAATACATTATGACTAGAATCTATAAGAAAATAAGAAAATGAGAAAATAAATTATGGGAAAATGACAAGTTATGGAAGGAGTTTGTCGATTTAAAATAGGTGGTGCCCGCCACCATACCGATATTTTAGAATGTGCTCTAGAGTAAAAAAAGGTTGGGAACCCCTGGTTTAGACAATAAATAACAGATAAATACCACTGTGCAGCCCTAGTATCTTTGTATAGCCTTGGTATAGCTCTTTATGTTTTTCCTTTTGTGATATTGCTCTTCACACTATATAAAATGAACTGAATACACAATGTATTGTTTTCTCTTTAGATATGTGTTAATGCCAGCGAGGAAGTTAACGCAGGACAATGTAGAAAACTTAGATCTTAAAGGAACAGGAGGCACAAGTGAGTGTGGCTTTATCTTTTAACGATTGAAAAACCCACACAAAAAGTCTGTTGTTGAAATTTAGTAAAACGTTTTAATGTAGTGAAACACGTTATTTAAGCACCCTTTTTCTGATAGTATAAATGTTTGTTATTATTTAGATATCTGGAGAATATTTCCCACAACATCAGGTTTCAAAACTGTTGAATATTAAATAAATAAAGCGGGAGTGATCTCCCCTAAAATTTCTCGAACATTCTTATACAGCACTACGTGGTGTGGCAACTTGGGATATAGAAATGATTTGTAATCAAATTTTAAAAACTAAAATAAAAAAAAATAGAATTGAATCTTATAGAAAAAAGAATTGCGAACCAAATGAACAAAAAACAACGTGTGTATAAGCGAAGCATTAGTACGGTCTAAAGAAAAAACTTCATTAATTTTCAAATAGTTAATTAATCAACTAATTAAGCCATTTATGTCACAATATATATTTTCTTCCAGTCTTGACTTAAAATGTGTTTTTTTGGAAAATTGGAAATAGCATAAAGTACTACTTCAGGTCACTGGAAATTATTCAAAACTTGGAAAAAAACAACAACATAGAATTAGATCTCCTACTTATATGTGAAATTTCGTCTATCAGAATCAATATTCAAGTTATAGATTTTTGAAAAACCGAAAGTAGAACTTATTCCATTTCCGTTTATTTTAAATCGCTGAAAAGTTGATACAAAACTAAAACTTTGAAATAATACTTAAATATGAAATTTCATCAACCTAGCTGTAACGGTACTCAAGTTATAATGTTTACAGACAGACAGACACAAACATATACAAACGCACAGACATACCGACAAAATTGTTTAAGGGATGTGTATACCGTCAATATTTATGAAAATCTCGATTTCGGGTTTTTGTAAGTTTACAGGTCTTCTTCGTTAACGAGAAAGTAAAAATTGACCAAACACAAAAATTTTTTTTGACCAAATTTATCAAATGGCACTAATGTAAAGACGACACTGTGTACAAATATTACTTAACAATCTAGTCACACAATGACTGTGAGGTTTTTATGTATAGCCTGTGTGTTTATGTATTATGTAAATTGTATGACTTTGTAAAACATGTATAGAGTGTATATTTATGAGATAAACTTGATGCTGTTTGTTTTTTCATGACCCATTTTTATATGTGTTTAGTTTATTTTCGACACAGGTTTGATGCAGGTATATATATATATATATATATATATGTATATATATATATATATATATATATATATATATATATATATATATATATATATATATATATATACATATATATATATAAACGACACAGGTTTGATGTCGTTTGTTTATTTATGCCACAGATTTGATGCCATTTCTGAAAGGTTTGAAGCAAGACACATTAGACGCTACAACATTTGCCCAAAGAAGGAACACATATTTTGGGCTCACGTTTGGGGTTTTAGTTGCAGTTGCAGCCTCGGTTGCTGTTGGTCTAGTCGTTAGGCTTGTTGCGAAAAAATAAGTAAAAAATTATACACGCCGCGCCTTATATAAGTGAGAGATTAAGACGGCTTTAAATAAAATAAAACAGTGCTTCAGGTGTTCATTTGTTAAGGTTATTTTCCTACGTTATGTGTGTTGTTTTCTTTTCCATTTTGTTTAATAATAATCTCCCCAAAGCTTTCTCGTATATTCTTATATATCACACAGAGAAGTGGCACTTCCAGTGTAATCGGGATATAGAAATGTTTTTATATTGTTTTTATTTTTATGATACTTTTTATAAAAATTGCACACTAAAAGAGCGCATGCAATATGAAGTGTATATAAGCGCGGAAATGTAGTACAATATAATGGAAATATTTTTTTTTTTTTAATAGTTAGTTAATTAAACACTTAATATAGTCACATTTTATGTCACAGTTCATTGTCATTTAGTCTTTGTCTAGTTGAAAACTTGGAAGCAAATCGGACTAGTAGAAGTGGTATTTTTAGAGAAATCGGAATAGGCCTACCTTTAAAGTATTACTTTCGGTCTCCAGAAATCACTTTGCGATAGATTTAAGATCATATGATTTATGCCTATGTATAAAATTGTGTTCACCTAAATGAAACGGTACTTACGTTCAGAGGCGTAGCGACCCTTCCCGGCGCCCGGGGACAAACTTTCGATTTGCACCCCCCTCGAACTTTTGATTTGCACTCCCCCCCCCCCCTCAAACTTCGACTTGCACCCCCGCCTCGAACTTTTCATTTGCAACCCCCCCCCCCTCAAACTTTCAATTTGTTTTTCTAACCTATTTTGGCGCCCCCCTAAGGTAGGCGCCCGGGGACATATGCCCCCCCCCCCCCCCCACTCGCTACGCCTCAGCTTACGTTATCGGTATTTTAAAAAACAAAACTAGAGTAAAATAACACCTCCTCTTTTCTTTGTAGTTACTTAAATAGCAGAGTATTATTATATATTTAAAGAAAATAATTTTTTTTTCCTTTTTACTTTCTCGTATATACAAAGTATAGAGAAAGTCTTGTAATCGTGCTAAAAAATAACATGAAATTTTGACAGTTTTCACTGTTTTACACCTCAGTCCTTCATCACATCCGGAGTATAGAAGACTTATTTTAATCAGACAAAAATTATAAATACAAATATATAAACATTTTGGCGTTTTATGCGTTATCGAGTCGGAAAAACTGGACTTTGCAATTCTGTCCGTATGTCTGTGTGTATGTGTGTCTGTGTGTCTGTAAACACGATAACTTGAGTACCGTTACATCTAGGTTGATGAAATTTCATATATAAGTATTGTATCAAAATCGTAGATCCGTATTAACTTTTGAGCGATTTCCGATAACTGGAAGTGGTACGTTTTTTTACTTTGAATTTTTCAAAAGCCTATAATTTGAGTACTATTTCAGATAGATAAATGAAATTTCTCTACATTCTGTCAAATTTTGAGTAATTTCCGTTGACGGAAGTACTAATTTACGCGATTTCCAATTTCTAAAAAAAAACCGCATGTAAATTTATAAACTACTAATAATATTGCGCACTATTATGCACATTTTTTGTTTTTGGCGTTCGTTTGGTGCGCAATTCTTTTTTCTTCTAGATTTTATTCTATTTTTAAAAGTTTAAGTAAACAAAAATCATGTCTATATTCCGAGTTGCCATCCCACGTAGTGTTATATTAGAATATTCGAGAAAGTTTATATTTAAATGTAAGCGGTGCAGGAATTTGAAATGAATGTCAAGTTAAGCAACGAATTATCTCCCATTTGAAAATCTAAATATCAAAATTCATTTATTCAAGGGAAATAACTTTCACAAGAATAGCTAAATTAACCAAGTGTAACTAAGACAGGCTTGAAAAACAAAATAAAACGCTCCAAATTTCATTACGTAATAATAAAAACACATCTTTTATATTAGCTATGTCACCTTGTAAAAACTATATATTTTACTTATTGAGTACTTTACTGTAGGTTTTGCTTGAAAGCCTACAAACGGTAGCTTTATTATAACATGACTCCATTCAATTTTGATGATATACAACACAAATTACACATATATTCACTCAATCTTTAAAATTTTGGATCCTTTAATAAAGGGACACCTTTCGTAAAATGTCAAACACGGGTAACTGTTTTAGACGTTGATAGAATTATTGATTAAATATTAAAAGAAATTACAATTAGACAAAACAAAGTTTACGGTTAGTTATAAATTACATCCTATTTAATATTAAATATTAATACTTTAAGAGTGGTAGTATGCACATTTTGTTTGGCGTTCACTGGTGTGGAATTCTTTTTTCTACGAGATTTTATTCTATTTTAAAAAGTTTTAAGTATTTAAAATGGATTAAAATTCATGGCTATATCCCGAGTCCCCATCCCCTGTTTTTTTATTACAGAATATTCGAGAAAGTTTAGGAGAGATCGCTCCCGGTTTATTTATGCATTTTTTCAGTATACCAAATTTTTTAAATACAATAGTGTTTCATGATCAAAACCTATTTCGCGTCAAATGAACATGATAATGCGCGCATAATAGTGCGGAATAGTATTATAGGACAGACTACTAATTTCAGAAAATTTTAATTAATTCATAAAAAATTGCCAGGCACCGAAGAAAGTCAAATTTAATGTCATGTTGCATTGTCTTCAATTCTCGACTCACGTACCGAATTTCAGAGAAATTAGTCGGTTAAAAGTGCCCGAAATTTCGCTCGCCCGTTTCTATTCATGACGACAGACTGACGTTGGACAGAGGAAGCAAGTTAAATAAAAGCTTGTAATAATATTTGTGTGTGTTACTTCCCCTTGCAGTGTTATAATGATAGCAGAAGAAACGCATGGGAAAATGGGGGATGTGCTTTCAAAGTTTCTTCCAGGCATCTCTTCGGGGTTGGGGGAGGGTGGGTACCTCCCCCTCCCCCGAAGAAAGTCTGTAGAAAATATATAGGAAATATAGGAAATATTATGAGTCTATAGGAAATGTCCGTCCCCCGTCCCCCCCGGAAATTGTTGTCCGCCCCCCCCCCCCCCCGAAAATTTGAAGTGCACCCCGTAGAAAAAAGTCTGGAAGAAACACTGTGTGCTTTGAATAAACTTTAGCACAATGTCTTCTCATACATCTCTTGTGTAGACTGACAAGGCAACCTAGAGGTTTAAACTGAAGAAATGTGCTAAAGATTAAAAGTGACAAAGTACAAATGTGTCTAAATCGATCAAGTATAAACAAAAAACGTTTGAATTAAAAAAGTCAAAAACGTGTTTAAATAGACAATTTTTTTATTTTTTTATCGACCATAGTTAGTGTTTCTTCACTTGCCCTATAGACCGTCATATCACAAACGTAACTGTACTTTTGCATACAGAAAACCTAGAAGTTAACCATCAATTGTCCCCTTAAGCCAATAACCCCTATAACCTTAGGCCACTACTCTAAATAGGCTCATAATTCAATAACCTAATAGACCCATAAGTCAGCGACCCTTATGTCAATAACCCAATAGACAACGAGGCGACAGTTACTCTGTCGAACTATGAATTATTTTTTTCTAAATGACCTGAAAACAAAACCCACGACTTTCGCAAAAAAAAAAAATAATAAAAATAAAATAAAAATATTTTTTTTTCGCTGAAAACCTAAGCTTTATGAGAACTTCAACCAGAATCCATGCACTAATCTGTGCACATTTTGTTGCACAAACGACACATGAAAAAAAGACCTTCCCGTCAAACAATGCTGTGTCATCTCTCTGCCTAGTCGGATCTTTGATAAAGTACGTTATCTGAAGATAAACATAATTATCTTTCTATCTGGAGATCAATAAATCAGAATGACCTAACTATGTAATGCAGCGCTAATAAAAATATTTGACCGAAGCTGGACTAGGGTATTCTCAGTTTGTTCACAAGGTATGTCCAATAATTACAGTTATGGTCTATTGAGATAACGACCTTTAAGTGATCTACTATCGTGACATGGTACTCAGGGATGACTTGAAAAGCCAACTTATCATCCCAGCTTTGGTTGGATGGCAGTTTGAAACAAACGCAGCAAAAAGTATTTAGGCCTTGCTCAAACTATAATAGGACAAGGCAGTGTATTATTGGGGTTTTTGGTTTCGGTATCCCAAATATGGCCAGGGTTAGGGTGACGGCAAGGCAAAATTTACAGAGTTAGGGAAAGGCTATGGATAGGTTTAGGTCTATTACGTTTGGGTTAGGGTAAAATTAGGTTTAGAATTGGGGATAAGGCTAGGGAAGGGTTAAGAAAAAGGGTTGGTGGCCAAGGATAGGTTATTACTTTTGGGTTAGGGTAAAATTAGGTTTAGAATTGGTGATAAGGCTAGGTAAAGGCTAAGAAAAAGGGTTGGGGACTAGGGATAGGTTTACAATTAGGGTTGAGTATGAGCCCCCCCCCCCCCACACACACACACAGACTTACAATTTCAGTTTTTTTTCTTAATGCAAGTGTTACCAAAAGTCAGAGCATACATTCATTACCTCATTCATTCTAAAAAAACCTTGACTTTAAGGTTGAGTTAGAGCAACGCTATTCTCTTTTAAAATAAACTTGGCCCTAACGGTGCTGCTAAGATAGAAATGAGTGCAACAAGTTGCTTCTAGTTATTTACAGCCGGTACGGCCGAACCTGCACCTGCACGTTATAAATATGCCAAGCACGCTCTTTATGTATGCTACACACTGTGCGGGTTCAGCTACTGAACCACGAAGATCTGTTTCTCAGCTACACACCACTATGTGTGTCACCACAAAGCCTCACAGGGTCAACAACAAGTTACTTAACTCAAGATATATTTTTAAAAAACCTGAATCGTCACACGTAACAAAATGTCAGTTCTTCTCAACCGAATGACACCAGAGTTCTATCCCCTATCTAGATAAACATATTTTTAAAAATGTTTTTAACATTGGTTTTTATTTTTTTTTAAAATGTTTGTTATATTTGTTGATATTTTAAAAAAGTATGTTTATAACATTGATTTATATTTTTAAACAAATACTTATAACAAAGGTTTATATTTTAAAAAGTGTTTTTATATTGGTTTATATTTTTAAAACTGTTTATAACTTTGGTTTATATTTAAAAACAATGTTTTTAACACTGGTCTATATTAAAAAAATGTTTATAACACTGTTTTATATTTTTAAAAAAACATTAAAACATTGGTTTATACTAAAAAACAAATGTTTATAACATTGGTTTGCTTTAAAAAAAAAGAAAAACACATATTTTTTAAATACTTTAATCCTTCCCGAAAAAAATTATCATAAAGGCATCCCCCCCCCCCCAAACACACATACCATACACACCAAACTTTCAGATTTTTTTTCTCGATGCAAATGTTAATTAATGGACGGCTCATTAGCGTGTTGTGTGTCGCCTAACCATCGTACCAACAGTCAAAGCACACATAAATTACCCAACTCATTCTCAGGCCCTCGACTTTATCTGCGTGTCATTAACTGCACACATGTCCCTGGTATCATCTACCACTAGACCACCGTACCATGGCCCACATTTATCCCCTACACAACCAGACCACAGTTCGCTCTAACGGAGTTGATGATATCAGCAACAAACGCCGCGACAAGGTTTGAGCTTTGTTGTCGTTTGGTCAGGGAGAACTTCGTTGTAGTTCACAATAAAAAAAATAAACAATTTGATAAACTGACCGCTTGACTTGTGAGATTAGTAAAGCCAGCATGAGCCCCATGATTCACGATGGATTAGCTGATCTAAAAATAGATCTGAAACACTACCACGTGACAAATACAACTGGATTTATGCTCGACCGCCCTCTGGTGAGTGTTATTTTAATACAACAATCGTCACACACAATCTAGAAACATCTTGAAATATCCTCACTATGATAATTTTTAAATATTTATTTTAGCGAAACATGTGGCTAGTTTTCTTGAAGTACTCACGTAAACTCCAAAATATTCACAATGAATTAGCTAAAATTGATACACACCCAAAACATCAAAATTAAAGTAGCAAAAATTGTTGACCATCTAGAAAATATTTTTTTCCCTACTTTACGGTCCATGTAGCAGGTGAAGTAGAGTACCGGCAGCCTTTACTTTCACAAACATGAGTCAGTAATCCATGGGTGGACTCGTTGAGACTCGAACCTGGGATCCTAACTCGAGGCTTTTGGGTTAGCTGTCGAACGCCCTACCATTCAACCAAACTGTCCCTTGAGTAATAAGAAGTGACACCAAAATATTCACTTTGAAGTATTTAAAAACTACTATTTAATGTTGGCAAATAAACCATGCGCAGTTACTTTAAAATACACTAACGACACTAAATGTACAAGCATTCAGCAGTAACTACATAGATCTAATGAATAAGCAGTAACTACATAGATCTAATCAATAAGCAGTAACTACATAGATCTAATGAATAAGCAGTAACTACATAGATCTAACGAATAAGCAGTAACTACATAGATCTAATGAATAAGCAGTAACTACATAGATCTAATGAATAAGCAGTAACTACATAGATCTAATGAATAAGCAGTAACTACATAGATCTAATGAATAAGCAGTAACTACATAGATCTAATGAATAAGCAGTGACTACATAGATCTAATGAATAAGCAGTGACCAAATAGATCTAATAAATAAGACCCTTTTCCCTTACAATAACGTCACTAAATGTGCTGAGCATTCAGCAGTAACTACATAGATCTAATGAATAAGACCATCTGCCTTCACTGCGGCTTCAAATTACATTAACATCTCTAAAAGTGCTGAGCATTCAGTACTAATTATACAAATCTGAATAATAAGACCCTTTGCCTTCCCCGCCCCACCAGACGGAGCTGCCAACCTACTTCAAACCATGGGAGGACATCGCCAGCTCTGTGGCCAGTCTCATAGAGCGTCGAGAACTCAGGAATGCTGTCCTAAAGGTCAGTGACCCTAACATTAAATGAGTCGAATGATGTGTGTACTAAATAGAGGGGAAAACAGGGTTAAGGGAATAAAGCCGCTTATCAAAGTCGTCCGCGTTTTCTACACCACACTTCATTTTTCACTCAAAAGATTTGAACTCTTTTTAAGATCAGATTTAGGAGACGAATTTCGTTAGAAACCCTCTACTACGCATACTGTTAATTTCTTCAGATGCATTTATTGGATCTATTACAATTTTAGCCACCCCCATTTTCTGTTTTCTATTCATATTTCTCCACTGGTCCTATAACATTCCTAGTAATAAAGTCTCCCTATATTTCTCTATAACTGGTCCTATAACAACCTGAGTTACCAAGCCTCCCTCTACTTGTCTACTGGTCCTATACCAATCCTAGTTACTAAGACCCCCTATGGTTCTCTATAACTGGTCCTCTAACAACCCTAGTTACCAATTCTCCCTGTACTTGTCCAGATGCCCCTACTTGACCACAACAAACTGACGGGCCACAGACAGCTGAGACTCGCTCACCTGCAACTGGCCATGATCGCGTCTGGTTATGTCTGGCAAGATGGTGACGTCAACGTGCCCAAGGTAAATTACAGGTGTCTGTGGGGGGGGGGGGGGGGCTAATGTAAAATCAGAAAGATAATTAATTAATAAACTCATTAAGGTATTTCATACACGTACGGTCATTCAGTTTCCTAATTAAATGTCCTTCAACTTAATCCAAATCCCCAACGCTAGCTAGTGAGCATTGAAAATTAGACTACCACACAAGATGTGACATGACTAAATGTATGAATTGCAGGTGCTGCCTAAGAGTGTGGCTGTTCCCCTGTATTACATATCTCAACACCTCGGCTTACACCCTATCCTGAGTCACGTTGACCTGGCTCTAGCCAACTGGACACTAGTGGACCCGGAAGGGTAGGTCCCACCCAGTGTTTCTTCCAGACATTTCTCCGCGGGGGGAGGGGGCACTTGAAATTTTTGGTGGAGGGGAGGGGGCGGGATAGAATTTCCAGGGGTAGGGGCGGACCCTGTTAAAAGTATATATTTTCTATACAAATTCCATTTTGTTTGGGGGAGGGGTGGGGGGGGGGGGGAAGAAAGGGGCGGTAGACTTTCTTCGGGTGGGGGGGGGGGTGCTCCCCCGAAGAGATGCCTGGAAGAAACTCTGCTCCCACCTGAGAAAATACAAACATTTGAATTATTAGCCAACTTACTTTTAACATAGCTTTAGCAAAATATTTATCTCATTATACAATTAATTAACTGTTTTCACTATTTGTTTAATCCATAACATTTTCAATTATATCTTTTTTTTAACAGGCCAATCGACTTTGAGTAAGTTTGAATTCATTTAAAATATAAGTTATTGAAAAGTAAATATAATTTTTTAAAGGTATTAAATAGTGCACCAATTACCCTTTGTAGTCTTTGCCAAAAATTAAACGATCATTAATATGGGGGCCTAGATTTATATTTGAAAAGATTTAAATGCCAAATGATTATCAACTATTTAATTATAATGGGGTTTTAGAATATCGATCACAGAGTTTCGGTAGAATCGCTCATTGTATTGTTTGTCTTACTAAAGTGAAATACAGATTATAGCCTAGGCTCAACTTAGTCAAAGACAATCAATATACCATGGAAATGTAGCTTAAAATATAAAATAATATTTTCAAGTTCAATGGGTTTTCAAGCTTTATAACATTGATTCTAAAAAAAATTAAATTTATTAACTATTTTCGAATTTGAGTTGCTTTTTTTTAAAATATGTTTTTTTACCACTGATTTGAAACAATAGATAAAGACATATTTAAAACATAAATTTATATCAACAATAATGATCGAACCTAACTCGCCAAACCTGGTTACCCCCCTTACTATTTTTTCGACAATAAACAACCCAGAAGTTTTTAGCAGCTGCAGTTAGCACGGTACGTACTACCTTACAAGAACACATGTTATCATAGACTAGTGCGTTGTATCTAACGAGGGGTGTGTGGGTGTTTGTACGTATGTATGCATGTTTGTGTGTATGTGTGTAAGTGTGTTTGTATCTGTATATATGTATATGCGTGCGGCGTCAAAACGGCCAATGACAAAACGGCCCCGTCAAAACGACCCCGACAAATCGGCGCCGACAAATAGGCCCCGTCAAAATGACCCCGTCAAAAGGGCCAGCGACATATGGACCCCGTCATATATATATATATATATATATATATATATATATATATATATAAATTTATATATGCTTTGTTTCCTGGGAGGGGGTGAAAATACGAAGTGCCGCACCGGGTGACACCCGACCTAGCGACGCCACTGGCCTGAAGGCTGACGAAGGGGCCCACTGATAATTTTTGCATAGGGGCCCAAAAATCCTAGCTACGTCACTGCACTGATAATACCGTTTCTGTAGAAACTAAGTCTCCGGCAAAGCGGTCTCATTGAATATGATACCTGCCAGTGGGACCCCTTCATGAATATTCTTTAGAGTTAGCTTATCCAACACTCTTATGTAATACAACGTATGCATCTCTTGTTCGGCAGGCCTTATTTTTATATTAGTTTATCTATTATAAAATATAGTATGTTTTAATTTAAGGGTCATCTATCTATTACATCCATAATTGAGTCGGTTATAGGCTGTTCCAACTCAGTGTGTGGGGAGAAGGGTCCACGCTGTACCTTCCTAACTGCAGTATGCTTGTAGGTTATCAAAACAAGATGCTGTTATCATGTAAACATCATGTAGATCATACATTTACACTTCTGTTCTCGCTTTTAAGCAACAGATCTTTTCGGTTGTAAATTAAACATTATCAAAACTTTAGAATTGGTGGAATTTAGCTGTTAAGGGCTCGATTTGTTTGTGAATTAATGTTGGTTCATGAAAAACAATTTCATTCGGGCATTAAAAAGAGGTTATAGCGGTGTTTGAGGTAGGACACAATGGTTACTTTTATGCCAATAGTGGTCATATCATTAATTTTTCTGGAGCCAATATGTCGGGAGTCATTTTGTCAATAGCCAATAGGTCGGGAGCCCTATTGCCGGGAGCCAATATGTCGGGAGCCCATTTGTCGGTAGCCAATATGTCGTGAGCCCATTTGCCGGGAGCCCATTTGTCTTGAGCCCTTATGTCGGGAGCCAATATGTCGGGAGCCGCTTTGTCGGGAGCCAATATGTCCTGAGCCTATTTGTCAGGGGTTAATATGTCGGGAGTCCATTTGTCGGGAGCCTAAATATCGGGAGCCCATTTGTCGGGAGCCTATATGTCGCAAGTCAATATGACGGGAGCCCAATTGACGGGAGCCAATAAGTCGGGGCCCTTTTGACGGGGCTATTTTGACTGGGTCGTTTTGTCGGGGGTCGATTTGACGGGGTCAAATTAACGGGGCCGTTTTGACGGGGCCGATTTGTCCCGGGCCGTTTTGACAGGGCACCATGTATATGTGTGTACCTGTATATAAGTATGTGTGTGTGTGTTTGTACCTGTATATAAGAATGTGTGTGTGAGTTTGTACCTGTATATAAGTGTGTGTGTGTGTGTTTGTACCTGTATATATGGATGTGTGTGTGCTTGTACTTGTATACAGGACCTACCTGTATGTAAGTGTACGTGTGTTTTTGTGTAAAAACTGTTTTCTTTTCTATCGTTCTCATTAAAATGTTGCATGTTAACACCACTGTATATCTGTCTACTTGAGCAGCAACCTTGCCTGTATCTATCACCTACCTGGTGGGGCAGAGAGCGACTGGTTTTGTATTGTGACCTTTATGGCAGAGTTCAACTTCGCCAAGTGCCTAGAGGTAAAGGACTGTGTTTCTTTCAGACATTTTTCTTAGAGGGAGGGGGGGCTAAAAACCTTCATAGGGGGCAGTCAATAACATTTTTTTTTCTTTTTCGGGGGGTGGGGGGGGGGGCACTGGTCATAGTATATTTCTGAAAATATTTCTATTTCGTCCGAGGTGTGGGATTGGGAGGGGGGGGGGGGTGTCGTGGACCTTCGCTGTGGGGGTGGGGTGGGGTGTAGATTCCTGAAAGAAACTCTGGTAGTGCTGTGCTTGAAGAATTATTTTTATAATTAACTAAGCACATAATTGCTTATGGCAATGACGTGATGATTGTGACAGGTTACTTCAGAGATTATGTGTGTGTGTGTGTGTGTGTGTGTGTGTGTGTGTGTGGGTGTGTGTGATTGACTTGTGTTTGTGTGTGCATGTATAGCGCCGACAGACCCCCTTTAAAATAATATTATGAAACTAATTGAAAATGTTCTTGAAATTTAGCTGCATTGTTAAATACAAATGTTTTTCCCCTTATAACGAACAACGTCTCCAGCCGATGGTGAATATTTTAGAAGTTCTAGACAACTACCAGAAGCTTCCTGTGGGTGACGTCACACAGAGAGACAGAATCGTTGACAGACTGGTGCAACAGCTGGATGGACTGTTGGCTGGAGTCTTGGATATGCAGTACTCACTCACACGCATGCACGGTAGGGGCTATACACTCACACGCATGCACGGTAGGGGCGATACACTCACACGCACGCACGGTAGGGACTATAAAGTCACTCTCTTATATATCTCTTAGTCTGTTCTTTCTATTTCTTCATATCGAAAGCGGATTAGTTAATTTTTTTAATAGTCCCCAACAATTTATTTTAAGGGAAAATTAATTTGGTCATCAGTTAAAACTGTACGATTAATTTTAGAGTTCTAAAATTTCATTAGATCTAATAATTTATATAATTAGCCATCTATTTCATTGCTTCGCTTGAATATTTGTTCTAAATATATATCAGAAATTGATCAGTTGTATATTAGTAAATGAGAGTGTACACACAAACTTCTATATTAGCCTTACACATCCACAAGAAATATGGCTGTCGTATTTGTGTAACACATCCACAAGAAATATGGCTGTCCTATTTGTCATATACGTTCACAAGAATTATGTCTGTCGTATTTGTCTTACACGTTTTCAATAACTATGTCTATCGTATTTGTCTTACACGTATACAATAACTATGTCTGTCGTATTTATCTAACACGTTCACAAGAATAATGTCTGTTGTATTTGTCTGATACGTTTACAATAACTATGTCTGTCGTATTTGTCTTACACAGACAAACTGGCTGGGGATACGTTTTACAAAGTCATCCGTCCCTTCTTTGGTGGGTAAGTCATGACTTTGTTTTAAGTGACTTTAGGCAGGCTGCATGATCAGTTACTGGTTTTACAAAACGCGGTGTGAGCTGAGATTGACAGGTCGATAGAGAATCAATCAAAGTATTGATCTATAAGAAGCTAAGGTAGGACATGGTAATCAGGTGAAAGGCAACACATTAAAAATAACATAAGGGGAGTTCAGATAAAATCTATTAAAAGCAAACTAAATAAAGAAAAGGACAAAGAGCTTAAATTAAAGAGGAACAAGGAACAATTATAAAGAGCTAATGAAATTTCTCGTCTACTGGCGTGAAATGTATTTAATTGGGAGCTTTGATAACCCAAGAGTTCACACACTACACGCTAATATTGCGTTTCCAAACTGATAGTCACTCCTGCAAAGTACTATGAGGGATGCGAAAAAGTTTTCAGTGATCGATACATTATGTAACACACCACTGTTTTATGCATTGAGGTACAATGCAATGTAGAAAAAAAAATGTTATAATTAATATAATTGTTTTACTTAGAATGTTAAATTCCTAATTACTTCCCTTCCTCTAAATACAAATTCATCAGGGGACACAACCTATACATATACATTTCTTCACGTTTGTAACGAGAAAAATCTAATAATAATACATTTTAAATTAACGTTGTTGTTATTATTTTTAAGAAATATAAATACTAAAACGATTTTTAGAAAGCGAGTGCCAAATTTACATTAAAATAAATTTACATTACAATATTTGACTGTTGTTTAAATAGGAAACTACCGGCGAAGTTTAACGCATTAATTTTAGACAACTAAGAAATTTACAATGGGTCTTGTCCGAGGTATTCTTCTAGTCTATTTCTTAATTCCAAATATTGGGCTACACTACAGGAGCTTAGGTCAGGGGTCGGCAACCTGCGGCTCGCGAGCCGCATGCGGCTCCTTTGATGTCAAGATGCGGCTCTTCAGCTCCATGCACAAATATGTATAATTTTTTTTATTTTCGAAAATTAAAAATATTGTTCTACAACATTTGGTGATGAATGATATAATAATAAATATAAACAATAAACACTCGCTATTATATTAGAATATGTATTTTCTAATTTTCTATGTACTTTCTATTATATATATATATATAAATATATATATATAAATATATATATATATATATATATATATATATATATATATATAGATATAGATATAGATATAGATATAGATATAGATATAGATATATATATATATTGTCCTAATAAAATATCATAATATTGAAATAAAAAATGTGTGTGGCTCTTTAAAACTGGGAAATTTTGTAAATTGCAACTTTTGGCTCTTCCGTCTCAAAAGGTTGCCGACCCCTGGTTTAGGTTCAAGGGTAAATTCAGGATACACGGAATGATAGATCATAAATTACAGTGACACCCTTCAAGCGTGGCTTCAATGCCAACCCGTGGCATTACGGTTAAGGATGGGGCAGTCAAAAAAAAAAGTTGCATCCCCTAATGATTACAATAGTATAATCAGGTTTTATGCCATTTTTTATTTTATTTCAGATTATCCCCCCCCCCCCCACATATCTCTCTCAATTCTACACAGACCACAAATAAACATTTAATTAAATATTTAAATATTCACATTTAATAAAGTCGAAATCAGAATTTTTTAAAATTTTATGTATAAATAAACCACTTTTAAAGAAAGAAAGTGCCTGTAAGAAAGTAGATTATTATTGCAAATCTGTATCAGCCCTCACAAGCCGATGTTAAAACTGTAATACAAAAGAAAACATAGCAAGCCAATCTCTTCATATGCCGAGGTCATAGAAATAGGTGAACTCTACTTCACTTGTGAACCGTCAGGTTTAAAAAGGGAACGTTACTAATTTTGCTTAAAGTACATAAAAAGTACTATGTGATCAGTTGCTTTTAATTAATTATGTTTTAATATTCCTTAAAGAAAAAACTTGAAAAAAAAAACAATAATTGATTTTTGTTTTATTTTTCTCTCTCTCTCAGGTGGGGAGGAGAAGGAGGCCCCTTGCCTAATGGACTGGTCTATGAGGGCGTGTCAGAAAATCCTTTAAAAGTAAAACTTTTTAAAAACTCTGATGTTATCGTGTTGTATGTAGGGATGGTGTTGGTTAGGTTTACTGAGCTCACTCAGCATATATATGTACTCGGCACTAGTTGGGGGTGGGGGGTGGGCATAAAGCTCACATATATTGTAGAGACAAAACTATAATGTTTTGATATGACGACTGAAAATCTGATTAGTATAATGCAATTATTAGTGTGAGTAAAAAGTCTAAGGAATGTATTTATTCAATTCTACAAAAAAAAATTCTTTTTGCAGCTATCAAGGTACACAAATCAAATTTAGATCTATATTCTAACCTTAGCTATCTAGACTATTCTTATGGTTTTACGGAAACGATAAGCAAAAGGGCGCTTTCTCTATTAACGAATAATTTTTATGTGTTTTTTGTTTGCAAGTTATAGGGGGAGGGGGGCAAAAAAGTTTCAAATCGCGTTTTACGAATTTGTCACTAGCCCAGTAAAGGAATAAATATCCCTTTGGCGCCGCAAGGCAGGGGAGGGGGGACGGGATACCATTTAGGGGGTAAAACTTACTGCCAAAACATAGTTTATCCAGGTAAATAATAAAATAAAAGGGACGATGGCAGACACGAAACCGTCAATCCAATTGTCGTTTGATACTTTTATTACTCTCCCTTGTGATGATTTTGGTAAAGATATCACTTATCCTTCTATATTTGATTGTCTCCCATATCATCTTATGTGAATTATCTCCCTTATCATCCTATGTTTGATTATCCCCCTTATCCTTTTAGTATTTTGGTGACACCGCAGCCCAGTCTTCAACCCTTCAACTTCTGGACGCCCTGCTCTGTGTAGAACATGACCAAGGTGAGATAACTGAACACTAGTTAGAACTAACTACTATCAACTTAAAATCGTATAAAGAGGGCAGCATCCATTATTTAATGTAGAAGCCAACATATTCCGTGTACTCGGAAAACCGCGCAAACAGAAAAACGCTCAAATACAAACTAAAAATCCTAATATAATTCAATTTTGTCATATTTCGAAGAAATATGTTTTATTATGCTACAATGTACATGTAGCCACTCTTTGTTAATGCCTATAAATGGTCGATTTAAGAAAGCAAAATTGACATGCGCAGTTTTTTTGTGCGCAGCTTTGGGGTTGCGCTGTTTTCAGTTGCGCATCTTTCCGGTCACTCGTTTTGTAAAACATTTCCTAAATAAAGTTATCGGCAATTTGAAAACGTTATTTCAAGAACATTTTAAATTTTCATCTGTTGTTGCTCGTTTGCGTTTTGTGAAGCTTATGTTTGCATACTTCCTTAATAACTTTGTTAGCTAAGATTTGAATAAGAAATTAACTTTGTAATACAGAGAAGATGAGAATCAGTGTATGTGTTGTTCAGCCTGCATGAGCCTTGTTTGCTAGGTTTAGGGTTATGTTTGGATTATCTGTGATATGGGTCTATATTTGTTGTTTCTTGATTTGGGCCGAACATGAGATTAACATTTCTCGTTTGTTTAATGTCCAGAAAAACGAGACACGATTTTGCTGATGAGGATGTACATGCCCACAGCCCATAAAAGACTGATCGAGGACATTGAGAACAGGAAACACAAGCTGAGGCATTTAGGTACAATGTAGTTAACATTTTTTACTGCATGTATTACAGTGTTCAAATTACAAATTATAATATGTGTATAAAAAGTAATATAAATAATATTATTATCCAATCTAAAAATTGGGGTGATTTTTTTTTCTAATTCTGAAATTTTATAATAGAGATAAGAACTTTGTTGGGTGTTCTTTAACTTTAAGTTTGTGGTATTTATAATTAAAGCCAGTAATGGCAGTAGATCAAATGAGAAAATCAATTCTTAAGCAAGTGGTCCCCCTTGGTCAGTAAACAATTTAACCGTTCTAAGTCATAAAATGTCTTTAGTACCAATTTTGTTTTGTCGCCACTGATATTGATGTCCTTATCAGTTCTTCACCTTAAGGCATGGTAAAAACTATTTTCTTTTTCAATCCGCGGAAGTCATGCTAAAAGCAGTTTCTCTTTCAGTCACCTCAAGTCATATTTAAGTTTCAGTCATTTTAAGTCATATTTCTCTTTCAGTCACTTCAAGTCATGTTTCTCTTTCAGTTACCTCAAGTCATGTTTCTCTTTCAGTTACCTCAAGTCATGTTTCTCTTTCAGTCACCCCAAGTCATATTTCTCTTTCAGTCACCCCAAGTCATGTTTCTCTTTCAGTCACCCCAAGTCATGTTTCTCTTTCAGTCACCCCAAGTCATATTTCTCATTTCAGTCACCCCAAGTCATATTTCTCTTTCAGTCACCCCAAGTCATATTTCTCTTTCAGTCACCCCAAGTCATATTTCTCTTTCAGTCACCCCAAGTCATGTTTCTCTTTCAGTCACCCCAAGTCATATTTCTCATTTCAGTCACCTCAAGTCATATTTCTCTTTCAGTCACCTTAAGTCATATTTCTCTTTCAGTCACTTCAAGTCATGTGGATTCACTGACCGAGGCCTATAACAAGTGTCTTTCAGCCGTTGTCAAGTTCAGAACGGGTCATCTTCAACTTGTCTCAAAGTAAACATTTAGTGTTTACCTCCTAACAAATATTTTAGCTAATTGATAGACCAGTAAATTAACCTATATCGGCATGGAATATCGTTAAAAAATATCTGATTTTTTTCACAGTGATGTTTTCAATTAATTTAAACATTTCATATAGTATTTGATAATGCTTTTTAAATACTAATGTAATGATTCTGGGTATTCGTTAGATAACAAACACAGATAAATAACATTGTGTATCCATATTATCTTAGTGTAGCTCTAGTATCTTTGTGTATCCCTAATATCTTTGTGTAGTTCCTATATCATTGTGGAGCCCTGATATATTTAATTATATTTGTATGTTCTAGGACGATTGTGTAGCCTTTGTGTTTTTCCTTTGGTGGTGTTGCTTTTTACACAATATAAAATACACAATTTATTGTTTTCTCTTTAGATATGTGTTAATGCCAGCGAGGAAGTCAACACAGGACAGTGTAGAAAACTTAGATCTTAAGGGAACAGGAGGCACAAGTGAGTGTGGCTTTATCTTTTAACGATTGAAAAACCCACACAAAAAGCTTGTTGTTGAAATTATGTAAAACGGTCTAATGTACACTAAAACTAGTTACTTTAGCACATTTCCGTATATTATAAAAGTTTTTGGCTTAATTGTGTTATTATTTAGTTAATTGGGTAATATTTGTCGTAACATCAGATTTAAAATCCGTTGAATATTAAATTAAAAATTGACAAAACACAAAAAAAAATCATATGGACCAAACTTGACATCAAATGGTACTAAAGTAAAGACGACACAGTGTACAAAATTTACTTAACAAGCTAGTTACACAATAATTGTGAGGTTTTTGTGTAGGCCTATGAGTTTATTTACTATGTAAATTGTATGACTATGTGAAGTATAATTGTATATTTATTAAAAATATGTATAGAGTGCTTATTTATGAGACAGGTTCGATGCCGTTGATTTATTTATGCCACATGTTTGATGCCCTTTATTTATACCACATGTTTGATGCCCTTTATTTATGCCACAGGTTTATGCCATTTATTTATGCCACAGGTTTATGCCATTTATTTATACCACAGGTTTGATGCCCTTTATTTATGCCACAGGTTTCATGCCCTTTATTTATACCACAGGTTTCATGCCCTTTATTTATACCACAGGTTTCATGCCCTTTATTTATACCACAGGTTTCATGCCCTTTATTTATGCCACAGGTTCGATGCCCTTTATTTATGCCACAGGTTTGATGCCCTTTATTTATACCACAGGTTTCATGCCCTTTATTTATACCACAGGTTTCATGCCCTTTATTTATACCACAGGTTTCATGCCCTTTATTTATGCCACATGTTTGATGCCCTTTATTTATGCCACAAGTTTGATGCCCTTTATTTATGCCACAAGTTTGATGCCCTTTATTTATACCACAAGTTTGATGCCCTTTATTTATGCCACAAGTTTGATGCCCTTTATTTATGCCACACGTTGATGCCCTTTCTTTATGCCACAGGTTTAATGCCGTTTCTGAAAGGTTTGAAGCAAGATACACTAGACGCCACAGCAGTTACCAACAAAAGGGACACATTTTTTGGGATCAAGTTTGGTGTTTTAGTTGCAGTTGTAGCCTCGGTTGCTGTTGGTCTAGTCGTTAGGCTTGTTGCGAATAAAAAATAAATGTATAGGTTTAGATAGCTTTAAATCAAATAAAACAGTGCTTATGGAGTTCGTTTGTTAAGGCAATTTTCCTACATTATATGTTGGTTAATATTGAATGTATTGAATCTAATTTTACGACTTTTTGTTGGTTAATATTCAAGAAATTGAAGCTAATTTTCCGACTTTATTTGTTGGTTAATATTCAAGGCATTATCGTTTTGTATATTTTCTTTTCCATTTTGTTTAATTAAAAAAATTATAATTATAATTATTTTTGTGAACAATATATGGTGTACTTTTCAAGGCATTTATCAAACAAAAACAGAGAATAGTATTTTAGGCACTAAATCAAACAATGGTTTAGACTATATGGGAGAAGGGGTGGGGATGGGGACATGCAGAACTAAAACGTGGAACTCAAATTACTGCTGTAGCGGCGTAAACAGTTAGTGTTGCCGTCATGCTCATGGAGAATTGATCAAACAAAGCTGTTTACAATTGCACCGCCAGGCTCATAACAAAGGTGTTTACACATTCAAAGTAAAATAACTTTTTTAAAACATTAAAAAATAAAGTGTTTACTTATTTACATTTTCTCATATACGTGTTACCAATAAAAAGGGATTTTTGTCGACGATTGAGCATGATTTATTTGTTTGCTAAATAATTATAAATGGTTGTAGATTTATATAAATAGAACTACCTTATAATAGTATAATTAGGTAGTTCAGTGTAAATAGATCGACAATAATTTTAAACTGCAATATGTTAAAAACGTTATATAAATGATGATTAAATATAAGTATGATTTAATAGATTACTTAAAATATTTTTTTAATTTCCGACGATAAATATATTTGAACTTCAGTAAATTACGAAACAAAACACAGATGGTTTTGGTTGCATTAACCAATATATTTATATCAACAACATGAACATTTGGCATTTAAACAATAGGAATATTGTATAATGCATTTACACTGTAAAACAACTTCATTGACACTACCTTCAATAAAACAAAATCAATATATCTACAGTGGTAAGCATTTAAACATTAGAAATATTTTTAGTGCATTTACATTGCAAATTAACTTCAACGACAGTGTCTTTAATAAAACAAAATCAATATATATTTACAGTGGTAAGCATTTAAACATTAGGAATATTTTATAATTCATTTACTTTGTAAAACAACTTCATTGACAGTATCTTTAATAAAACAAAATCAATGTATTTACAGTGGTAAGGATTTAAATATTAGAATATTTTATAATGCATTTACATTGAAAAACAACTTCATTGACAGTATCTTTAATAAAACAAAATCAACACATTTACAGTGAAAGAACAATCAAATAAATAAAGGAAATCTTTTTTTTTCTTAGAGTTGCAAGTCAACACTTTGACAGATTTCTAAGTGTAATCTAAACACATCCGGCTTTAAAAAAAAGACTAGGATATTGTTCACTACCCAGATTTTTCATATACTTGCTTGTGGCCAGTTTTGTCATTTTTTTAAAAAATTTCGCGACCAAAAAAAAAAGTAAAATGCACCAAGTTTTCACATGCATTGTTACCAGAAAACGGGAAGATTCAGTGTGCACGGATACTCCACAGTAAAAAAAAAAAAAAAAAAAAAAACAGATATCAGAAGTATAAAACTACGATCAAATCTACATTGAGAGTTGAAGTAAGGCAGCACACACAACCGTGTATAAAGACATCTGAATCAACGTGTATGTCTAATGTAGAAGTATTGTTTGTGGATATATCTTGTACCTGATGATATCACTTGCTCAGTTCACCAAAAGGTGAAGTTTCATATTTGTCTGTTAATAGACCGACACAGTCGTGTAGGATATTTTCTGCAGATGAAACACTGGGGAGAAGTCTGTGGATCATCTAGTCGGCACATGGCGGTTTAGTAGACAGTTTTACATGACTTCATGACATGGCAGCTACTAGATTAATGTTGCACTCCATACACGATAATCTCGTGTTATAAATGCACTCCATACACGATAATCTGGTGCTATCATTACACTCCATACACGAGAATCTTGTGCTAGAGTTGTACTCCAAACACGATAATCTCGCACTAGTTTGCTTAAGGTGGAAGTAAGATATGTTGATAACCTTCATCAAGTTGTTTTTTTTATGAACAACAATATGTCTGTTTTTAACCTTCAAGTTTGACGCTATTCACAGGGCTTGTTTGTGACGTTCATAAGGTCTGTTACTGTATCGTAATCATCATAATAATTCCGTATGATCATAGTTTATTATCTTTAGCAGCTACCTTAATTGAAAACGTTGGCATGCGTATTTTGAAAATTTCAAAATGCTGTCTTTAGCATGATTGTGTAAGTGGGTTACAATCAGCTGCCTGTAGCATTATTGTCTTAATATACTCCAGCCATCTGCCTGTAGCACTGTTGTCTTAGCGCACTCCAATACGCTCTTATTAGCACATCACCATTTTGAAAGCTCCGAGTAGATAACACAATTAAAAGACTGGCTATGACGACATCAAACAGCAACGTTTTTCTTTCTTGTATCCTAATTTCTCTAACTGAATCCCATTCTTTTCAACTTGAACTGGAGGGAAGGCTTTTGTAACGGCTTTCGCTGGAAATAAAAAAAAAATGGAACATTTTTACAGATGATAACTATTTGTAAAATGAATGTAGTGTTCACCCAATCAATTAAACCAATGGCAAACCACAAAGCAAAAGCCAAAATGGGGATAGATCGGGCACGCCCTGAAAAAGGAAAAGGTCAACATCGCGAGGCAAGCGTTGGACTGGAACCCCCAGGGAAGAGAAACATTGGGCCGGCTTTGGCAATCCTGGAGAAGGACTTAGAAGGAGAAGGAAGAACTGCTGGGATTACATGGGCTCAACTAAAGAGAGCTGCCCAAAACAGGCTGGTGGAGAGGTGTGGCCGCAGCCCTTTGCCCAACAATGTCTTCAAAGCATTTACTCAGTCAGGCATTCAATCAAGTAAAATATTAAAGCAATGTTTTTTTATACCAAACATAACAAATGTGGCATGCAATCTAAACTTAAGTTGTTGTTTTTAAGGCCTGACGGTCACTGGGACAAGTGAAGTAGAGTTTACCTGTTTCTGTGACCTTATTATATGAAGGGATAGTGTGGTCAGCATTATGTCCATCCTCCTTAACTTTTCATAAAGTGAGTTGGGTACCCATTAGAGCTGCGTGGACTCAGGGACACTCAGTCTATCGCTCTACCGTCAAGGCGTCCCCGGACAGACAATCTAATACATGAAAGGTGTGACTTACCAGCTTCAGAAAATAACAAGTTGACATTTAATCCGAATTTGGCCGACGTCTCAACAAACAGCATGTTGTGCAAACTGGCAAACCGTCTTCCCTCCTGATGGGAGAGAATTCAAAACATTGTTTTCTTAAACTTAAAGTTTATTTTTTCAATCTTCTCTATTTTTTACATATAATTTAGAATGTGTATTTATACAATTAAAGTTTGTAGTTAAAGGGGAGGGGGGTCGTCTATAAATGACGTCATAAAACTTGGTGAAACACTTTTTTTCACAGCGAATTCACAGCCCAATTAAAAATATATTTTAAAAAATAACATTTGTATGAGTTGCTTCCCCTTACAGTGTTATAATTATAGCGCCTTAAAAAAACGCATGTGAATTGGGGGTGTGCTTTGAATAAACTTTCGAATAATGACAAATGTCTACACATACACATCCCTTGTGTAGACTGACAAGGTAACCTAGAGGTTTAAACTGAAGGAGTGTGTTCAAGGTTAAAGGTGACCAAGAACACATTAAATCGCTCAAATATTTAAAAAAAAATGTTTGAATTGAAAATGTAAAATACATGTTTAAATAGAAATATGTTGGGTATTTATTCACCGTAGTAGTATACACGCTCTTTTATCCACCGTAGTAGTATACACGCTCTTTTATCCACCGTAGTAGTATACACGCTATTTCATTGTCGTCTTACCAAAGTACTGAAGGTTTATAAAGTGTTTACTGACAAGTAGGTATGACGTCACTCCATGAACTGACCAGGGTGTAGACCTACACTCCATGAACTGACCAGGGTGTAGACCTACACTCCATGAACTGACCAGGGTGTAGACCTACACTCCATGAACTGACCAGGGTGTAGACCTACACTCCATGAACTGACCAGGGTGTAGACCTACACTCCATGAACTGACCAGGGTGTAGACCTACACTCCATGAACTGACCAGGGTGTAGACCTACACTCCATGAACTGACCAGGGTGTAGACCTACACTCCATGAACTGACCATGGTGTATGACGACACTCCATGAACTGACCAGGGTGTAGACCTACACTCCATGAACTGACCAGGGTGTATGACGACACTCCATGAACTGACCAGGGTGTAGACCTACACTCCATGAACTGACCAGGGTGTAGACCTACACTCCATGAACTGACCAGGGTGTAGGCCTACACTCCATGACCTGAACAGGGTGTAGACCTACACTCCATGAACTGACCAGGGTGTATGCCTACACTCCATAACCTGACCAGGGTGTAGACCTACACTCCATGAACTGACCAGGGTGTAGACCTACACTCCATGGACTGACCAGGGTGTATGTCTACACTCCATGAACTGACCAGGGTGTAGGCCTACACTCCATGAACTGACCAGGGTGTAAACCTACACTCCATTAACTGACCAGGGTGTATGACGACACTCCATGAACTGACCAGGGTGTAGGCCTACACTCCATGAACTGACCAGGGTGTAGACCTACACTCTATGAACTGATCAGGGATGTATGCCTACACTCCATGAACTGACCAGGGTGTAGACCTACACTCCATGAACTGACCAGTGTGTAGACCTACACTCCATGAACTGACCAGGGTGTATGCCTACACTCCATAACCTGACCAGGGTGTAGACCTACACTCCATGGACTGACCAGGGTGTATGTCTACACTCCATGAACTGACCAGGGTGTATGACGACACTCCATGAACTTACCAGGGTGTAGGCCTACACTCCATGAACTGACCATGGTGTATGACGACACTCCATGAACTGACCAGGGTGTAGACCTACACTCCATGAACTGACCAGGGTGTATGACGACACTCCATGAACTGACCAGGGTGTAGACCTACACTCCATGAACTGACCAGGGTGTATGACGACACTCCATGAACTGACCAGGGTGTACACCTACACTAACCAGGGTGTATGCTTACACTCCACGACAACACTGACCACCATCTACTCACATTTTCTTTGACCGCCCTCAACTGGACATCCGCCTTGTTAGCTACGAGCACCTTGACCAAGTTAGGAATAGCGTGAGACTCCACATACTCCAGCCAATAGTTCTGTACCGACACGAACGTCTCCTGGCGAGGCAAGGGTTAAAATCGTTCACCTCGTGTTTACAAACACCACGTGGCGGTTTATTTTTAGCCACACGCAGTGAGTCAGCGCGTTGCACGCAGTGAGTCAGCGCGTTGGTGTAGTACACAAACCACGTGACAAGTCAGCTTGGTGAAGTGTTTATTTTAGTTTTAAGTTGCATTTCATGGTAAAGCGAGGCGTAGATTTTTCTTATAACTTATGGTGCTGGAATTGGCATGTGTGAAGTCTGTATGTTAACGTGTATGTGAGCATGTTTTGGTCGATAAATTTAACTGTGTGACACATCTGTGAATTAGTCACTCGGTGTGTGAAACGTGTGTTATGTAAGTTACACGACGGCTGAAACATAGTCACACTAGCCTAGGTGTGACACGTCTTATGTAAGGCTGTTGATGGGGAACATATTGGTCGCACATAACATTATTATGTAATCTAGTTGGTGTCTGATATATTATCCGGGATAAATGAGCGACATATACGTTATATGAATCAGTTGAACGTGACTGTTGTGTGAAACATATATAAAGATGAATTCTTCAACATACAATGCTATAAGCTGAATGAAAAACAACTAAAATAAATCTGTTCTTCCTCACTGCTTGTAGCCCATGTAAACAACAAACCCATTAACAACATACTAGCAACAACACACCTAGCAACAACACACTAGCAACAACACGCCTAGTAACTACACACCTCGTAACTATACACCAAGCAAAAACAAAATGTGTAACTACACACCTAGCAATAACACACTAGCAACAACACACCTAGCAACAACACACTAGCAACAACACACCTGGCAATAACACAATTAGCAACAACACACCTAGCAACTACACACCAACAGCACACCTAGTGACAACACACCAAGCAACAACACACATAGCAACTACACATCAACAACACACCTAGCAACAACACACTAGCAACAACACACCTGGCAATAACACAATTAGCAACAACACACCTAGCAACTACACACCAACAGCACACCTAGTGACAACACACCTAGTGACAACACACCTAGCAACAACACACATAGCAACTACACATCAACAACACACCTAGCAACAACACACCTAACAACAACACACCTAGCAACAACACACCTAGCAACAACACACCTAGCAACTACACACCAAAACACACCTAGCAACAACATACCTACAACACACCTAGCAACAACACATATAGCAAGAACACACCTAGAAACTACACATCAACAACACACCTAGCAATAACACACCGACAACACACCTAGTGACAACACACCTAGTGACAACACACCTAACAACTACACACCTACCAACAACTACACACCTAACAACAACACATCAAAAACACACCAACAACTACACACCTAGCAACTACACACCTTATTGGATACGTCATAGACCATGAGAGCACACATGGCATCCCTCATGAAGTGGGGCAGCAGTGCCCTGAACCTCTCCATGCCAGCCGTGTCCCACAGCTGGACCGTGACGTTCAGTTCTGGAAGGTTCTTGGCCTGGAAGTGACCTGTACAAAACAAATTGAGTTCTTGGAAAAACGTTTACAGTAGAAACAAATGTTATCATATGGTTGTTAGGGTCATGGTTAGGTTAGGGGCATACAATAGTTAGGGACATACAATAGTTAGGGACATACAATAGTTAGGGACATACAATAGTTAGGGACATACAATAGTCAGGGGCATACAATAGTCAGGGGCATACAATAGTTAGGGACATACAATAGATGGAGACATGCGGTATAAAAGCTGGAGTGAATGGTTGTCAGGGTTAGTTGGTAGTGGTTAGGTCGAGGGCTATGCTGTATTGTGAGACCTAATAAACGTATTGAACGTTAACCCGAGTCGGTCTTGAATTCGAATCTAACCAGGACGTAACAGGTACGCGATGCTTGAAAATAAGAACCGTCCACACGTTGTATCGGTGGTTTGAAAAAGTAACTAAACAGTTCTGTCTAACCTGAATATCGAAACAAATATTTTTTTAAGAATAAATTTCCCTGAGTGATGTTTTGGGGTATGTTTAGAGTAGGTATGCTTATTAAATATGCCATAACAGAGCACTATCTACTACAGTGCATAGGGTTAAACTGGTAGGTAAGATAAAACTATCCGCCACTAGTTACTATGGTAACAGAAAGACTATATTTTTACGTTCAGGTATGTTCTTCAGCATGCAAATAATTGAGTTTGATGTCGCTTTATTTAAAAGTGAATGAAAGATGATAGACTGATTATTAAGAAGAGCAGTTATAGTTTACACACAGATGACGTTTTGTGAGTGCTTTGATGTTGTTGAGAACAAGTGAAACTAGACGACACGCTACATTATGAATCATGACGTGTTTCTTTAAATGTTCCATGCAAGATTGCTGATTTTTAACCAAATCTTATCCAGAAACCATCCTGATCTGCATGCGTGGTAATTGTTTTTTGTGCTTTCCGAAAATGTGTAGGATAAGACCTACAGTGGCGTAGGCAGGGGGGTGGTTAGGGGGGGTCATAACCCCCCCCCCCCATAGACCCCTCGGTATATATATAAAGTATGAGGGGGGTGTAAATCGAAAGTTTGAGGGGGGGAGGGGGTGCAAATCGAAAGTTTGTACCCGGGTAAAAATTTGACCCTCCCCCCCCCCCATGAGACGATCCTGGCTACGCTACTGAGGACCTATGCTTTGTTTTCCAAAGTTGTTTATTTATACTTAACATAAATAGTTCAACGTCATTTAAACACTTAACTACTATCACCATTAATTACACCACAAATAGTAAAATATCATCTTTGATTCTTGTTTATTGCACTTTGAAGGCGATGGATTCGTTGTTTCATAGAAATGGCTAGTCATATTAGCATGTTAAGTCAGTAGGTAAAGTTAGACATTGCAACTACTCGTTGGAACACTCAACGTTGGGGGGGTGGGATTGTATGTTTGTTTATATATATACTAGCCGTCCCGGCCAGGCCCTGCTCTGGCTTCTATGAAAAACCCTTCTGTTAAAGACCATCACCTGTGTGTTTAGTAATCATCATAAACCCGGCATTGCCCACCCAAACCACAACCAACCAAAACCAAAACAACAAAACGCAAACATAACGCTAACACAATTACAAATACAAACGAAAACAAAAACTTACAACAAACCAACCACAACCACAAACACCAATACGAACACAAAGAAAAAAGCAAACGAAAACAAACCAAATCCAAACACAAAACCAACCACAAACACAAACCCAAAGAAAAAAAACAAACGAAAAAGCAAACGAAAACAAACCAAATACAAACGCAAAACCAACCACAAACCCAAAGAAAAAAAAACACAAAAGAAAAAACAAACGAAAACAAACCAAATCCAAACGCAAAACCAACCTCAAACACAAATACAAACACAAACCCAATGAAAATAAAACACAAACGAAAACGAAAAAAGAAAGAACAAAAACGAACCAAATCAAAACGCAACCACTAACGCAAACCCAACCTAAACACAAAGAAAACACTAACGCGAATATAAACGCAAAGTGCTCACGGGGCTGAATCGCCTACTTCAACTTAATAAACGACTATAGTACCCCAACTTATTCATAGTCTTTTGCACTCACTTTAATGAACGTAGGCGCGAAACCGAACACGGGAGGCCCGGGACCCCAAAAAGCACCCTGTCTGGGCGCCAGAGGACGCACCATGACGTCACCGCCTGATTGAACTTAGTAAACGCCTATAGTGCATAACTTATTTATAGTCTTTTGAACTCACGCGAACGTAGATACCATAGCGTACACCGGAAGGCCCGGGGCGCCAAATAGCACCCTGTCGGGGTGCCGGAGGACGCCCGGATTTGATTCACTTAAAGACTATAGTAACTTTTCTTATCCATAGTCTATCGCACTGTTTAAAACAAAATTATGCAGCATAGCGCTCACATGATAGCCCAGGGTGCCAAATCAAACCGTGCAGGGGCGCCGGCGGACGCGCCTGTTTCAATTTAGTGAACAAAAATGATAATACTCCAAGCTTATCCGTAAATGGAAAGAAATAAACGTATATGATTTGTAGGACCTGGCTTATTAAATGTTATTGATTTAAAAAAAAATTAATAATTATTGAACAGTATGTTCAGTGTATAGAATAAATAAAAGGCAGTGTTAAAAATACCTAACGACATTGCACTTAATCAATCCCCGCTAATTGTGTAATTATTTTTTTTTTCTTAACACCAAAAACAAAGTAATAAAATGATAATTCTCTCTTCTTAAGGATTTATTTTTCATTAAAGGGAAGTAACTTTGCAGTCAATACATTTCCGACACAATTTTAGAAATTTTATAAACGTCGATACACTTTTTAAAAATTTTATGTCGCGTTCATAATTGAAAATTATTCTTCTAAGTAAATAGAATGAAAATTGTTTTTAAAGACTTTCAATGGTAATTTTTTGACTCGTAAATTTAGACTTTGAGCACGATAAAAAATCTAACACTTAAATCCGTAGAAGTGTCAACGACAAACTTTTTTGTTTTTTGCCACACGTTACAGAACTGAGCTTTATATATTAGATATATATATATATATATATATATATATATATATATATATATATATATATATATATATATATATATATATATATATATTATATATATATATATATATATATATTATATATATATATATAGTATTAGTATATATATATATATTATATATATATATATATATATATATATATATATATATATATATATATATAATATATATATATATATTATATATATATATATATATATATATATATATATATATATATATATATATTATATATATATATATATATATATTAGTATATATATATATATATATATGTATATATATATATATGTATATATATATATATATGTATATATATATATATATATATATATATATATATTATATATGTGTATATATGTATATATATATATATATATATATATGTATATATGTATATATATATGTATATATGTATATATATATATATATATGTATATATGTATATATATATATATATGTATATATATATATATATATATGTATATATATATATATATATTGGGGCCCAAAAATATTTTTTTGCGGGGTGGCCCTTTTTTTTCTAGTTCCGCCACTGGGTTGGACAAAGGCTATGGAAATACATACATAGAAGAAGTATACTAAAATCGCAGTTTGTATCGTGATTCCTGTACTCAATGTTTCTTCCAGACTTGTTTTTCCAGGGGAGGGGGGGGGCACACTTAAAACTCCATGCCTGGAAGAAACTCGGCCTGCACTGCGTGTAACATGTTGACACGTAATACTTAATGATGTGGGATGAAATCCCGCCCAAATGTACAATTATGAAAGAAGAAGACACTGTATTACTGGACTTACCGCCGACCGATGCTGAGTACTTGTCTTGAAAGGTGCTGCTGGTGAAGACGTTGGCGAGGGAAGTTTTGCCGACATACATGTCCCCCACCAACACCACCTTGATGCTGCGGTAGTTGTTCATCGTCAGCTGAGTCACGTGATGCGGGGACGGCGTTCGAGTGGTCGAGTGGCTAGAATGGTAATATCAGACTATGGTCACTCTGTATGTGTTGTATGTCTGTGCTTAGTCCCATATGAGGTCATTTTGATGTCCGTACTCTTACACTAGGGCCATCCTACATACATGTCTGTATTCTTATAGGGCCATCATACACGGGCCAATGCATGTATTCTTAAACTAGGGCCATCATACACGGGCCAATGCATGTATTCTTAAACTAGGGCCATCATACATGAGCCAATGCATGTATTCTTAAACTAGGGCCATCCTACATGGGCCAATGTCTGTATTCTTAAACTAGGGCCATCCTAATTAGGCCAATATCTGTATTCTTATACTAGGGCCATCCTACATGGGCCAATGTCTGTATTTTTAGACTATGGCCATCCTACATGGGCCAATGTCTGTATTTTTAGACTATGGCCATCCTACATGGGCCAATGTCTGTATTTTTAGACTATGGCCATCCTACATGGGCCAATGTCTGTATTTTTAGACTATGGCCATCCTACATGGGCCAATGTCTGTATTTTTAGACTAGGGCCACCTTAAATGGGTCAATTGTTTTTACATGGGCTGTGGGTGATAGCTATAAATGGATAGGTGGCAATTAATTAATTTGACAATCAACATTAACAGTGTATAGTGTGGGCCTACAATACATGTATTGTCATATAGACTAATTTAGTTCATAAACAACACTACATATTTAAACATGTTTTTTTTAAGTTTATAAGTGGATGCTTTTACACATGCACTTCTGTTGTTTTTTCTTCTCCACTGTGTATTTAATTAATTAAAAAACAATTAGATACTAACCCAATCTCCTGAATATTGCTCAACAAATCCAAGCGTGATAACTCTCCTATCCCCTGTAGAACTCTTCAATCCAAGACGACGAAATAGTCAGGCTAAAATCCTAGCTTTGACTTGTGACTGAGGAAAACAAAAAAACATGAATTAGCCACTTATTCCTGTGTCAAGAACCCACTTCAGACTTCGTGCTCATTTATAAAGTATAGGCTAGAAATGGCGGACAACTTAACCAATTTGTGGTTGGATACTGTTGATTTAGTTGAGTAAACATGCACCATGTTTGAACTATCGACAACATGCAGTAATCAGAGTCAAGAAACTAAATTAAGTAATAAAATAACTACAGTTCTGATTTTCAATAAAACTCTGGCTTAACTAGAGCTACGATAGGCTAGATTAACAAATTTAGCCTACAAGCGTTTAAACTCCCTTTTGACTAAATGTTCACCAATTTAATTCTCTGTGATTGATGTTTCCTCTTTCTTTGCCTCTTTTCGCTATACGTTACTTAAAGCTTCACGTCTATTGTTGGTACTTGGATCAACCACATCACACTAAGGTGACCAATGATTAGTCTTCGACAACTTTCAGATTTTAATGGTGGATTTGGGGATGTGGTGCTTGAAAGCGCCAGAATATGTTTTTATAGCTATTACACAATTTAAATATCAAAATTGATTTATTAAGTTACCCGAGCCCCTAGATACCTTTCTGGCTCCGTGTATTCCTCCCGCCCCAGACGAAAATCTGTGAGCCCCCTGACTAATCCTAATGCTAGATTTGTCTTTATTCTTTTTACCAAACCGCCAAGGTTATATATTACCTCTTTGGGAAATATGTGAAAGACAATCAACATAATGATAAGAACACACCCATTATCCACACACACCCATACACACTTGGAGCCCACATAGCTGCCTATTGTCTAGATATCTATATCAAACACTTGAGTCTTTATTTTGGAATCGATTTTTTGCACTTCAAATCCAATACGTGAGGTACCAAAATACAACACCGAGCGATATATTTAAACAAGTTCTGTGCAAATAATAGTCAAAGATTTTTTATTGGCAAGGAACCTACTGTAAGTGCGGTACGTCATCTATACTTGTGAATCAAACACACACACACACACACCTGTTTATATATAAAGGCTGTAATATATATATATATATATATATATATATATATATATATATATATATATATATATATATATATATATATTGCCTATAGCATATATAAATACATATGTATACAAGCGAACATGCAAACATTTTGCAATGTTGGCTTTAAATCCCCACGTAACACACCAGATATGTAATGGTAATGGCCGCAGCTCTACACACATAGCACACACCGTAGACACTAGACACGCTCTAGTTATTCTAGCCTTCTGTCCCATGTTGTGTCTCTACCTTTGTAGCCCATCTGTAGAGCTAAGGTGGGGGCGTGTGTTCAGCGACATAAAGGCGTTTACTTGGTGTTAGGTGGGTGTTTAAATTCGGGCTTTTTATACCCAACACGCACATGGTTAAAGACATAGTGATCGATGTGGTACCAATAATAGAAGAGTATCGCATTCAAAAACACAAGGCAATAACAGAATGTATCCCGATTCCCGAATAGCACTGCGCAATTCTAAATATAAAATTACATAGACCTAACCATAGCATAGCAAATTACATAATACTTATAAATAGGTGAATAAATTACAATATGACCATGACATGCACTAATAAAAATAATCATAATTGTGAAAACAAACATTATGACTAATGATAATAGTAATAAATAGGCTGGCATGCATAAAAACAAAAAAAAATATTATAAATAACATAAATGAATAAGCCTAGTAATAAGAGACCGACCTGTACGTATTATAGAGAAGAAGTAGGCCTAAAGTCTACCTCTCTTAGTGGTCGAGACGAAATCAACCCAAATGTAGCGTGGACCACCGAGGTTCAAATCTCGATAGCGATACATAGCCACGAGCAACTGAAGTGGAGGCAAAGGACTTGCCTGCTAGCTAGCACGATCTTATTACAAATGAAATACTCACCCCTCAAAGATAGCTTCACGACTTCAAATGTTTTCTTTTCACACTTTGAAATGAAAACTTTATCCACAAAACATAACCATGCGCTGTGGTCTATTTTTAGCAGCAAGTCACGTGGTATGCTCGACTTCTTTGAATTCGGTGAAAGTACAGCCCGCAGCTGTTGTAGGTTGGTAGGGACTAGAGGTATACTGTGAGAGATCGACTAGGATGAAATAAAACACCGTCCCTATAGGGCTGAACACAACGTGTGTGTCTGCTCTTATCTGCCTTAACGCCAGGTAAAGATGTGTTCACTAATCGCTTTGTCCGACCTACTTTATGCCGACACAAGACACTTGAGAGGGGTTTATTTTTATCCCGGTGGGGAAACCCCGCTGTGACGTCACCGCGGAGTATTGAAGTTGTTAGGTAGTGAAAAGTCCGCTTTAGGCGGATATGCCTATGTTGTTTTTCCAAACTTGACAGAAAAGGTGTGTATTACAGGCAAACTTGCACGTAGTTCAGATATATAAGTATAGAACATGGGGAATTTTCTCAAGTTGGGGGTTGGCACATTTTTTTTTATTACGCTTGCAAAAATTTATTATCGCCGTGTAGTAAAGTTCGTTCACGTTTTATATAACATTTACAATTAAACTTTTAATTAATCGAAGCACATAACGTTATATATAAAATGTCGATATACAGAGGCTTAGCGACCCTTCCCGGCGCCAGACGCTTAGCGACCTTTCCCGGCGCCCGGGGACAAACTTACAATTTGGCGCCCCCCTCGAGAGAAAATTTTCAATTTGCAGCCCCCTCAAACTGCAAAATGCAGCTAAATTGACATTTTAATTTGTTTTTACAACCCATTTTGGCGCCCCCTAAGGTCGGCGCCCGGGGACATATGTCCCCCCCTTCCCCCCCCCCATCGCTACGCCACTGCCCGGCGCCTGGGACAAACTTTCAATTTGGCGTCCCCCTGGGAGCAAATTTTCGATTTGCACCCCCCCCCCCCCCCCCTCAAACTATTTATAATGCAAAATGCAGCTAAAATTACATTTTAATTTGTTTTTACAACCCATTTTGGCGCCTCCTAAGGTCCGCGACCGGGGACATATGTACCCCCTGCACCCCATCGCTACGCCTCTGTCGATATATCACATCTCACTATATAGTATAACTCTTCTAGAAAAATTCTCAGCACTCTATCACCACTCTCAACACACAAACCACAACAAAATTTGATATTACCAGCACAAATTCGGGTCATGATATGACAATGTCGTTTACCACAATTTGTATTCAAATAATTGCAAAGCTTTTTAAAAAGTGCTTCAAAAATGCTTGTCAAATGATTCTAAAGATTATGTTTAGCACAAAGTTTTAAAAAAATTAACCGACAAATCTATCACAGCGTTTTGGACTAGATCCTTGCTTTACACATCACATTCCCTACCCCCGTAGTGGCGTAGTTTTGGCAAGGCGGGTGGGGTGACCGCCCCATTATGGGGTGCCAAAAGAGGTAGAAAAAGAAGAAGTATTGAATTATATACATTATACAAGTGTGGCACCAAAGCAAAAACTAGTGGCTGTTAAAAAGCACCACCAACCTTTTCAACTACGTGTGTGTGGGGGGGGGGGGGGGTACGCTTTTTCACCAACATGAATATAATATAAATTGGAGGGGGGGGGGGGGGGGCACAAAATTGATAGTTCGCCCCTGGCGCCGCAATGGGTCGCTTCGCCTCTGCTACCCCCGTATAAAGCAAAACAAACAAAGCAATAAATTACCCCCCCCCCCCGGGTTGTGTGTACAATAGGTGTACAAGGATTTGGTGTTGATAAGGGTGTGCAGTCAAGTGTGGCTATGCTAGGTATTTTATTATTCTATCGATGTTTAACATGGCACCCAGGATGTTTATTTAGATATTTCTTTTCAAATCGAACTCATGCGGTTCAAAACCCTCAATAGACACAATACACAAACAACAAGCTTACTCAAATGTATAGCCAGAACACTTTAATATATTTTGTATTGGTCTATGTAATCAGATAGAATTACATACATACACATATATATAGGCCTACATATATATATATATATATATATATATATATATATATATATATATATATATATATATATATATATATATATATATATATATATATATATTATATATATATGGTAATATAATATATGGTAATTTAGTAAAGCGTGTATCCATAAACACCGTATCACATAAGCCATCTCGCATACAATCATCAGATAATCGTATGGCTAGTAACCCCCAAGGCCACCCATCTTGTTATCTTTGCCACTAAATCATTCTTTCAAATCCCACCTTCAGCTCTGTAAATGTTGAACCTCTGAACCTTAGGCTGATTACATTTCTTAGGAAAATGTTTACCGATCACCTCCACGGTGGGAGGGGGGATTAGTGGAGTAACGTAGTGGTTGGGGGAGGGGTGTGAAGGTGGGAGGGTCGCCATACTTTGATCGCCACTATTGTTATCGACAGGAGTGTGTATACACCAAACAAAAGACCTGGTTTGATGTTTCTGGGAAAAAATAAGTTATTACAACCACTTCCGGATTGCTAGGAAAACAAATAAATCATCAGTAACGACACACTAATAGAAACTACACACGAGGATGGACTACACACTGAAATTGACGACACACTAAGATGGGCGACACATTGAGATGGGCGACACACTCAAATATGGGACGTAGTGGGTCTAGCGGTTGAGAGCTGGACTGCTAACCCGTAAGTTTCGGGTCCAAGTCGGTAGACCGTCCCTTAGTCCACCCAACTCTGATGGGTACCTAACTCACGTTAGGGAACGTAAAGGCGGCTGGGCATAGTGCTGACCACACTATCTCTTCATATGCCGAGGTCACAGAAACAAATGAAATCTTCACTTGCCCTATAAATCGTCAGGATTGAAAGGGAACTTTACTTTATACTTTTACACACTCAAATGAACGACGACTAACATGGAAGAGAAACTAAGATGAAAGACACACTAAAAATGGACGACACACGGAAAAGGATGACACACTAAGATGAACGACACATTTAGATGAACGACACAGTAAGATGAAGGACACACTGAAATTTTTGACTCACTTATTAAACTATTCTCTCTTACCTAATTCCTGATCACCCAGAACAAACGACAACAGCCATGACACACGGATCTAGTTCTAGCCCCCGCCTTAATCCCACCTACCACACCTAGGCGTAGGCTGCTAGTAAAGGAAAATTCCCATCTTAAGCCACAACGCAAAACGCCCACCTTTAAATTATTTTAATTAATGGCACAATACAGACAATTTTACACACAAGTTTATCCAAAATAAAATGTAAGGAAAAAGGGAACAAAAAAACGTGACCTTTATTATCTCTCTGCTTATTTCATGATAACATTTTCTACGAAGGCCATCGTACAAATCACTTAAACTACCCCTTGAAACACGTCACTAATTAGTTAAAAAAATGCAATTTTAAATTATGCAGATGACGTCATTTTAAAGAGACTTACTTAATGGTTACTTTTATACGTAAAACAGTTCTAAGTATATTTTGTATTTTTAAAAATAATTTAAAAAATAGTATCGACATACTCATACAGCTAGACCCAATAGTAATTTTTTTTACTCAATTTTAAGTCAAGAAATGCATTACAACAAAGTCATAATCGGCGTGGTCGACTCGGTAAAGCTCACGGCTGCTAAACCGAAAAGTCTCGAGTTCGCACCTTTTCTAGGAGAGACAACTCCAAAATGGAAGCAATTCCAAAAAGAAAAGCAGGCTGAAATCGGAGTCAATGGCCTCAATGGCGCATAACTAGTTGACACGTAGATACTTAATTGTGTTGGAGAAATACCTTCACACACTAAAAAATTAAGAACGAAGAAAAATAAAATAAAATAAACATCCAACCTCCCTCCTAAACATGTGAGATTTTTTATAAAAATAATAGTTGTAATTTGCATTCGTCAAGACTGCAAGTTGCTAACCAAATAGGTCGACGATTTATTAGGGTTTTTCCGCGAGAAAGTGTAGGAAGGTTACGTTACGTTCCGCCTACATAAAAGACACCAATTTAAAAGCTAAGCTTATTACACAATTTTAATTATATTTTTTAAAAGTTAATTATGTAGGCCAAGGAATAGGCATAATATCTAGAATTACCTAACAGATAAAAAAAACAATTCAAGTTCAACAGAGGTCTCTAGTTAAGTAGGCTAGTCATTTCTGTAAATATAGCTTCCGATAAATCGTGCAACAACCTTTGTTTAAAAAAAAAAAACTAAACACTACCGGAGAAAACCATGTCAGATTTGGGGGGGGGGGGATGTGAATTATGTGTGGAAGACAACATGTTTTTAAGGCAGGCGTATGTGGTGAATGTGGTGAATGTGGTAATGTTGTGAATGTGCTAATGTGGTGAATGTGGTAAATGTGGTAATGTGGTGGTATATTAGTGTGTGGCTAGTTTGGAAAACCATGATATGGTGAAAGTTGCAGTGTTTTGTTATGTCAGTGTGTGGTTGGTGTGGCGGGGGTGGCACATTTTATATGTGGCGATGGTTAGACCGTTTGATAGGTACGAGATGTGGTTGATTTGTGGTGCTGGCAATGTGGCAACAAACGACACTGTCCCAGTCCCGACACACCACTGTACGTAGATTTAACCTAAGTTTTAAAATGTTAACCCCAGGGCTTTAACCAGACCTATATATAGCTCTAGCTGATTGTCCCATAAGTCTTTTGGCTGTAAGTTACCTGTAAGGTGACCTCAACAAGTGTGGGAGATTTTGAAGTCATAGGTTGAATGTTCATTTTGACAGGACGTTTTAAAAAGCTTTCGACTCAATGTTACACAACTGTTAGCTTTACTTTATTTTAGAGGTTGGGATAATTCTTGGTTTTCAAATATATTTAAAATAATTGTCGTCGTTTTTGGTTTGTGTTATATTAAGCTTGTATTTTAAGCGGCCACTCCTTAACAAACAACATACTGTCATACACTATTTTACACACTGTTACACTGCCCCAAACGGTCACAATGTCAGGTCATGGCACACAGTCAGATACTGTCACACACTGTCACACTATCAGATACTGTCACACACTGTCACACTATCAGATACTGTCACACACTGTCACACTATCAGATACTGTCACACACTGTCACACTATCAGATACTGTCACACACTGTCACACTATCAGATACTGTCACACACTGTCACACTATCAGATACTGTCACACACTGTCACACTATCAGATACTGTCACACACTGTCACACTATCAGATACTGTCCACACACTGTCACACTATCAGATACTGTCACACACTGTCA